GTCTGCCTTCGGCTCAGGTCATGATCCCAGGGTCCCGGGATCGAGTCCCGCGTCGGGCTCCCTGCTCTCCCTCTGCTTCTCTCTGTCTCGTGAATAAATAAATAAAATCTTAAAAAAAAAAAAAAAAGAGAGAGAGTCATTACATCATGGCTGTGACATGAGAGACTTGGGAAAAGAGGAATGAGATTGAGGCGGGGAGGTGGTGGCGCCGAGGAGATATGGGGGCGGAGTCTTTAGCTCAGCTACATGGTGGGGTCCAGCGATGGTTGTAGGCGTGCGTTCTCCTCCCGCCTCTCCTGCCTCCCTCCTTCCTCCACCACGCCTGACACCAAACCTGGTACAAAGTGAGGAGCGGGCCCTGGTGAGGCAGAGACTCATGGTTGTAGCAGGCTGGGGGCCGGGGGAGAAGGAGGGGCTGGGCGGGCATGCTGGGTGGGGCAGGACAGAGGAGTGACTGTTGTTACTGACCTCATTGCTGAGCCTACTTCTCCGCTGCCTGTTTGTGTGCAAGTCGAAGACACAAATGTGTGTGTTTGTGTGTGTGTGTGAGGAGAAGAGAGAGCAAGGGGTAGTACCTCCAGCTGCCCACACAACTGTTGTCATTTTCCTGTTGGTACAAGTCTGTATTTGTATTATCTTTGTTATTATAAATGAGTACAGGAGATGTGTAGGATTCCAAAGATTTTAGAGTTTTAAAAAGGGCATTAGTGGTGGGACGCCTGGGCGGCTCAGTTGGTTAGGCATATGCCTTCAGCTCAAGTCATGATCCCAGGGTCCTGGGTCCTTGCCCAGCAGGGCACCTGCTTCTCCCCCTGCCTGCCGCTCCCTCTGCTTGTGCTCTCTCTGTCAAATAAATAAATAAAAACTTTAAAAAAAAAAAGGGCATTAGTGGTAATTTAGAAACCATAATATCACTGCTGGTTACCAAGTCCTGGTGGTCTGTCTCTGTTATCGCTTAAAGCTCTGTACTCCTCTCCATCCCCACACTATATTTTCCCATGTATGATAATGAAGTAACTTGGTATAAGAACTATTTTATTTTCTTCTTAAGCTACCATGTAAGAAAAATAGCGTGCAGATGATGGTTATATTGTGACTTGATGAATTATAGAAGATCAAATGTCAAAAAATCAAATGGTGTCCATTCTTTGTGCTGCCATGGGACTTTGCATATACATAAATGTGGCACTTGTTCTGTTATAGTTTCATTCTTTGGAGTCGTGCCATAGCTTGGCACTTAAAACCTGCTGACCTTTCCAGTTTCATCTCTAGTTGTTGAACCCCTACTCACATTTATGCACACATTATATATACCCTAAGCACCAGCTTTACTAAATTGTAGCTCCCCAACATGCCATTTTTTAAAAAAGATTTTATTTATTTATTTGACAGAGAGAGACACAGCGAGAGAGGGAACACAGCAGGGGGAGAGGGAGAAGCAGGCTTCCTGCTGAGCAGGGAGCCCGATGTGGGACTCGATCCCAGGACCCTGGGATCATGACCTGAGCCAAAGGCAGATGCTTAACGACTGAGCCACCCAGGCGCCCCCCAGCATGCCATTTTTTTTTTTAAGATTTTATTTATCTGACAGAGAGACACAGCGAGAGGGAACACAAGCAGGGGGAGTGGGAGAGGGAGAAGCAGGCTTCCCGCGGAGCGGGGAGCCCGATGCGGGGCTCGATCCCAGAACCCTGGGATCATGACCTGAGCCGAAGGCAGACGCTTAATGACTGAGCCACCCAGGCGCCCCCCCAGCATGCCATTTTTAATGCCTCTTGTTCTCATCCTTCCTTCCTGCCACCTCTGCTTAAGTCAGCCTCATTTTCTGGCCCTACTGTTACACACACTCATTGTTTGGTGCTAGATGAACCCCCATCTCAGAACTCTAAACTCTAAAGCCATTCCCAGGCATAGACTTTCCATGGTGTGTGTCTGTGTGTGTGTGTGTGTTACCAGAGTACACAAGCACTTTAACAAGCAGGTTATTCAACTGCTCTATTTAGCGCTTGCCTAGAATTCTCCAATAAAGTTAAAGCAGAGTCCAGGATTAAGTTGTGTGATTCCTGAATTTTCAGGAGATGACATATTGCCTTTGGTGCCAAATTTGATTAAACTTGATAACTTTAATGCCACTTGGTTCTGTTGGGGAGGAAGAATTAAATTGCTTACTCTAGAGAATGATTTTTTTCCCACTGAGGAATAGAACATTTATTAAAATTATCTTGGTGACCTGAAAGAGAGAAATGTACTCTTCTTCCTCAGCAGAAGCAGGTCCAGGACATTATTAGCACGTAGTAAAAATTGAATAATTGAGCAACACTGACTTCTTTGGGATTCAGCCTTCCAGCCCCTGCTGTGTGATTAGTTCTGTCCAACCTGCTGGCATGCTTGAGCAGGAAGCCTGCAGAGGATTAGGAAGGAAAAACCCTTTAGCTAATCTCAGGTACTGAAGACATTTGATTTAATTTTATATGTTACACATGGTAATCTGGTTTCCCTTGGCAACCTCCAGTTCTGCCCTACTTTATAATCAGAGGATGGCAGGACATTGCAGATTTGATGGCATCACCTGAAAGTGACTATAGAAAACAGAATCTGCTTCAAAAGAGGAGAGAAAAAGGTCACTAAAAAAGAACAGAAGAACCTGAGTCCCCTTCAAGAAAGGACAGATAATTCTCTATAGCTTAGATACCCATGAGGATTTCACTGATAAGAAAAGTTCAGGACTATCTATAGGAGAGCAGTTTGGGAAGTGAGGGAAGGGAATCAAGTCTTGTAAATCTTTTAAGGGATAATAATTTGGGGCGCTTGGGTGGCTCAGTCAGTTAAGCGTCTGCATTCAGCTCAGGTCATGATCCCAGGGTCCTGGGATTGAGCCCCACATTGGGCTCCCTGCTCAGCAAGGAGGCTTCTCTCTCTCCCTCTGCCCCTGCCCCCTCAACTCATGTTCTCTCTTGCTCGCTTTGCTCTCTCTCAAAGAAATAAATAATCTTTAAGGGAAAAAAAGGGATAATAATTTTATCATTTGTGAATTGCGGTTAAGGTTTTAATTAAAAAATGACAATAGTAGTTACTGTTTGTTAAGTACGTGCCAGGAATCTTACTTGGTTCTTTACAGATACAACTTCATTGAATCCCCACAGTCTCCCTTTAAGGGGAGTATTAATATCCCTTTTTGGATGAGAAAACAAGTATTTATTGATCTCTTAAAGTATGGAGGCTGGAGGAAGGTAGGGCAATATGGACTACAAGGTTTCAGCTTTGGGAGATCATTTTTCACTTTTTTCTATGATCTTAAAGTCCTACAAGTCTTTTTATTTATTTATTTTTTTAAATATTTTATTTATTTGAGAGAGAAAGAGAGAGAGAGAGCACATGAGAAGGGGGAGGGGCAGAGGGAGGGGCAGACTCCCCGCTGAGCAGGGAGCCCGATGTTGGACTCGATCCCGGGACTCCAGGATCATGACCTGAGCCGAAGGCAGTCGCTTAACTGACTGAGCCACCCAGGTGCCCAGTCCTACAAGTCTTAATAGCCTCTATTCCAAAATAGTATACTAATGCCCATTAATGATGACCTTCAGCCACCCAGAATAGTTTAAGTTACATTCATCTTAGTCTAACTCTTTCATTTTACCCATTAGGAAACTGAGTGCCAGAAATTTAGAAATTTACTGGGTCTCCTGACTCCTAGTAATTTTTGTATTTTACCATGCCCCTGTACTTTTCAAAGAGGGCTTGAGTAAATGGGAGGAAAGAAGGATGGGGTCTTGTCATGCTATCAATGGCATTAGGTTGAACTAGCAAAGTAGACAAACTACTGAATCAGAAGGTACTGATGAGATGTTTAGGCATTGGGAACAATTCTCGTTCTTACTTGGCCAGTAATTAATTTATTCTGCTTGACTCATGTCTGAACAATGTAATACACCTAAGATTTCCAAATAAGTCTTTAAAGGTATTTAGTGCCTCACTGGTCATTTGAAGTTTAAAAGGACAGGATTCTACATATGAACCGTAACATGTGTGTGTGTGTGTGGGGGGCAGGTCTTGAGGTAGAAGTGAGCGATAATGAATGGCTACTTTTGTGACAGGTGGATGCAGAGACTACATATGTTATTTTATCGACTTACACATGTATGCTTCTGTCATGTTCACAAAATGCTATATAATGAGATAGGACATGTCATTAGCTTTCTGTAAAGTGACAGCTTTGGGAGCCTACTGACAAACTAAGAAATCTTAGTATCACACTTACTATGTAAAGCATTTTATATGAATTTAATTTAATCCTTATAACAACCATAATTGTGAATGTTATCTCCATTTTAGCAACTTTTTAAAGTTTTTTATTAATTCTTCCCAGAACACTTTCTCTAACATTTTATTATGAGAATTGTACAATGAACACCCATATACCCACCTAGATTCTATAATTGTTACTATTTTTCTGTATTTCCTTTGTTACATATTTTGTCATCAGTTTATCCATCCACTCATCTTAGTTTTTGTTGTATTCCAAAGTGAGTTACGGATGTTGGTACATTTTACTTCTAAACACTTACATGTGGACATCATTAATTAGATAGAGTTAAAAATGTGGTAGCCCTATTAAAAAAATGAAAACAAAAAAACTGAGGCCTTCAGTTCTGTTTGGGGGACGTAGTAGGTCCTCGTTCACTTTTGGCCTTCCTCTGTGAAATACTAAGATACTTTAAGAAAAAAAGTGAGCTACTCATGTTAAACACTTATACCTCATTAATGAGATAGAAATCTGTTCCTAGGCCACAAGCAACCCAGCACTGCAAAGTGGCATCTTACCTCATTTCTGATTTTAAATGAGAATGAGGTCATTGCCACATTTCTGAACACTAACTCCTCCCCTAAAAAGGAGAGTTTGATTAGCAAATTAGTTAAGCACTTTAGTAATGATATTGTAACTTCATTTCAATGAACATTTTTCCCCTTTTCTCTTCTTCTGGGTGTGACTAAATTGCCTACAGCATGCTGCATGGTTGCTGGTAAAACAGGAAATGGGGTAAGTAATTTAGGTAGGGAATTTTTTCTACCATTTAAATATAAGCTACCTGATTCTTAAAGTACTTTTACTACTACTATCTCTTTTTTTAGAGTGAGTTCACTAGCTCCTAGAGAAATTGAAAGAAAGAAAAAAATTTTATTATATGAATTTAGGTGTCAACCTTGTTAAATTAGTTTATTTGCATGGCATATTATTAGTAGTCTATTAAAGTGGATTCATTTTTTTGTAAATTTAACACTGAATGTAAATACGTATTTTATATTTTTACATTAGGCACTTATATAATGTAGCTTGGCAAGCTATTATAAAAGAATAAATTTTATATTAGTCTTAGAAACTAAATTATAAACTATACTATAAAAGATACAAAGTAAAATCCTATTAAAAGCAGAACAACAGTGAGTTTATACATAGGTAAAAAATGTAAAACATAGGTCCACGGTCCTTTATCTGAAATCCTTGGGGACCAAATGGTGTTTTGGAATTTAGAATTTTTTTAGATTTTAGAAATGTAATATGGTGATAAATACCATATATAACATACCCCTCCCCTCCATGGTCTGAGGTGGTACTCTATAATCAAACACATTAATGTTTCTGCAGTGAAACATAAATATTCACATTAAGTTTGATACACAAAGTCTCTAAACAGCCTCACATGTTCAAGTCAGTGTTTGTTTGCCAACTGGTTTAAGAAAAAAAAAGTCTTTAATTTTCCAGACCTTTTTGGATTTTGAAACTAAAAATTCTATACCAATATAAAAAGGGCCACATGACTACTTAAGTTTCCTGTGCACTCTGGATAGAAAAGCACAAAGAGAAGTATAGATTTCTGTATTAGAATCTTATACTTGGTAAAGTGATTTATTTAAAAAAGTAATTGATTTGGCCTTTTTTTTTTTTTCACATCTGCTTTTCTGAAAGGGTAATAGCCGTATATCTAGCAAAGGTTTTAGGGTTTAGTTAGGTTATGTTAAATTAGTCTCAAATGCTTGTGATTCTGGCATAATAAAATTTGATCCTATGTTTGATAAATTTTTTAGCATAGTCAAGGCATGCTATTTTCTAAATGTTTCCAGTTTCCATCCACATTGGTTGTGAGTTGCTGTTGTTATTCTTTATCGAAGAATTTTAAACTAAGCTTAGCTCTTCCAAAAGATCCTGTTCAATATAGAGATATTGGCACAGGACTGAATTTACCTCAATGACAACTAATACCTCTAAAGGACCATCAGGCATATGCTAAGAACCTCTGTGAAAACATTTACCCTAAATTATATTAGAAAAGTTATTAAGGCACATTGAATTTGCAGGATTAAAAATCTGGCATTTTAAGTGTTAAATTTTTGCCTTGTATAGAAGGTTAAGATTTCCAAGATGTCTATTAACCCCTTTCTACTGTTCTTTAATCTGGAAAGAAAAAATACCTGTAGGTTTTTTTTTTTTTTTATTGTACTAAGATGTCTAAATCTATTTCAAAGACTATGAAGGTTTTAAAATACCAGTAATGTCTTAACCCATATTTTGGATTGCTTTTTGCTGCAACTCTTGGTACTCTCTAGAATCTAAACAATGTTTAAATAGTTTTCTATTCTTGTGTTTTCCATTTCAACTTTTTATCCTTTAAAATGAGTTCTCAAACATTAATTACTTTTCAACTGTGATGTTATTTTATGCAAATATCATTAAACTATTGGTACAATATCAAGATAGTCTTTTAAAATACTTAAAATGTTTCTGATATTCAGAGAATTAGGAGCAGTTTAAGAAGTTCAAACAGTGTTTCAATAAGTTCTTGAATGTAGAGAGTAATTTGATTCTTTGTCAGATGTAGGGTTTATCTGAGTTTTTCATTGTTAAACCACAATCCCAAAGCATATGAAAGCATTCTGTGTAACCAGTTATACCTCAGCTGGATATAGAATGTGTACATCAACCATTTCTTAATTTGTATTCTTAGAGGAAAGTCGTCCCTATATGTTTTTTAGATCAATTAAATTTAGGCATTAGCTAAATTATTTTTTATTTTCTAGCTGCAGTTAGTAGTGTCTTTTTGTCCTTAAGAATTAAATTACAATGAATTTTTGATATAAGTAGTAATTTCTATCAGTGAAAATTGGACATAGAAGAAATGATTCACAAGTTGGTCCTAACATCTCTTGTTAAAAGCAGCCCTGTATATAGCCATAAGACTGATTTGTAGTTCATAAGACTGATTTGAATAGTATGGACTTGTTAATTCTTTAGTGATATCATAGTATTCTTAGCATAGCAAAGCAGTTTTAATAATATCATACCATATGTGCTTTTCTTTCTTTTTACTTAAGTTCCTTTCTTTTTTAAAAATTTCTTAGTAGGCTCCATGCCCATCGTGGGGCTTGAACTATGACCCTGAGATCAAGAGTCGCATGTTCTACCAACTGAGCCAACTAGGCACCCCCTTCAGTTCCTTTCTATAACAATTTTAGGTTACAAACTAAAAGCTAGAGATCATAACTGGGACTTCCCAAAACCTATTTATTGGCTCATGAGTAGATTTGGGGGGAATGTCAGATTTTTATTCAGACATTTTTCTGATATTAAAGTGACAAGCATGTCAGCACATTGATACTTTAGGATTTAATGTTTCTTCTTTAGCACTGAAGTATAGCTTTTACGTTGATTTCCCAAAAGTAAGCCCCGTTATCAGGAAGAGAGTAGATGTAAAAATTTTTAGTCTGGATGAGATTATTGTAATACACAGTTTTATTGTTCCTGAGCAATAAACAATCCCTTCTATTCCATCTTTCTGTCTTCTGACATATAATCCTAGAATCTGGCAATGGTAGTTCAGAAAAACTTATTAGTATACTTTTGTCTTTGAAGCTTAAAAACTGTCTTATATACCATTTTAAAAAGCTGTTTTTTGATTCTACTAGACTATAAGGTCCATGAGCTGAGGAATTTTTGTCTGCTTATTCTCTGCTTTCTATCCAATGTGTAAAAAGTGCCTGGGACATAGTAGGCACTCACTCAATAAATATTTTTAAATAATTGCATAAATTCTTTCCTTTAGCAGAAAAAGTAAAGTTTTCCATTTCAGTGAATTAATTTTTATGTTATTCAGAAAACAGAGTCTGTCGCTGGGAAGAAATGATATAGTTCAACTAAAAGAAGCCTACAAATGGATAACTCACCCCCTGTTTTCAGAGGAACTGGGTGTTCCCATTGATGGAAAGGTATTGGGTCATCATCAGCATTGTTAATTTCATTCTCTGGTTTTACCAGTTTTACTCCATTATATGGCAGAGTTTTGATTAGCCAAAATAATCTTCTCTTTAAATAACCCAATGAAGAATTTTTAAGCTTTTAAAATATTAATTTCTAACTCTTAAATTGAGAAAGATTTTATTTTTTTAAGACTTCTTTGTGATCTAAGACATTTATGAGTGTAACAAATGTAGTATACCCTAATTGACTTTAAAAGATTAAAAATGAATCTAAACCTTTAATATGTCTATAGTTTAATTGGAGAGACATGTACTGATAAAGCAATACAGAAGTAACTGTGAATAAGTGTAGAGCCAACTCCAGACTATTTAAATTCAGTTATCTGTGGCTAATCTTGTTTTCAAATACAATCAATCAACTATAGTGAGCACAGGTTCAGCCTATCCTACCTTGTTGTATCTCAAGTCCCTCTAATTTTAGGTAAAGACTGCCTTTGAAACCAGAACACTTAGCCATCTCCCCTGTTCCATAATGGACCTTGTCTCAGTCTCCAGAATGGACTGAATTTTAGGAAAGAGCTCAACAGGATATATTCCCAGCTCATCTTAAATTAGATTTTTATAGTATGACTTCATTGCTTCATGATTTTGCTTGAAGGAAATTCCCTGAATATCAGACACACCCCTATTCAAGTAAAATCACAAAACCATCTTTCAAAGCTAATTAGTTAAAAAATTTTTTCACCATTTAGAATTATATAGCTCTGTTTCCTTCTGTTAGTAAGAATAAACTCTCTCCTTTAAACTGAATACTGACAGAATAGAGAATAAAACCACTTCACACATATACGGAGGGGAAATGAGGTAATGAAAGTACTTTGGAAATTAGAGAAGTCATTGATGCAAAATATTTTTACCTCAAACTTCAGTTTTGAAGCATAAGTAATTTTACATGTTGAATTAGTGAGAACAGAAAATAGAAAACAAAAGATGCAACAATCTTCTAATAGATTCAGAATGAGTGAAGTTTTCTTGAGTAAAAGCAATGTCTTGTAATTTTAATTTTACTGTGTAAATTAGCAAAAAAAATTTAGCTATTCAGTGTTGTGATTCTAGAGAAGCTAATACGCTTGTTGACAATCCAATGCAATCAGTAAATACAGAAATACTCAATAAAAAAGATAAAATTGTTATATGGTATGGCATTTATCATTTTTCTCAATGTGGAATTTTGTTCTCTGTGAAGATTAATGAACATAGAGTATGAAATTGTGCTTTTTTTGTATACAAGGATGTTCATTGTAGCATTTTTTAATAATGGAAAAGTTTACAACTTAAACGTCCAACAGTCCCTGGAGTTGAAGAGATGAAAAGTTGTCCACAACATAATATTAATTAAATAAAGCAATTTTCCAAAAGTATGTTTAATATCCTAAGAAGTATATACATTTATGTTTATATTCATAAAAATGGCTAGAAGGAAACACACCTATTACTATGTTCTACCTCAGTGGTGTGGGATTAAAAATCCATTCTGTGTTTGATTATTTTATAATTTATATGTATCATTTTTATAATAAAAATTAAGATCTCTCTTTTAAAACTCAAATCTGCTAAGAAGTTTGAGTACTTAAAGTGCCACAAAATAAATAATAAAAAATAAAGGCTCCCACAGAGATTTTAAGCATGTGAATAAAATGCTTTTGCCTTGCTAATAATTGTAATCATAGGAACAATTATCTCTTTCCAATTCCCTGAATTCTCTTTCATCCTCACATCGAATTTATATACATGAACAAAAATCATACAAATTTATTTTAAAATTTGTTTAAAAAATTTTTTTGGTAGAATAACTAGTGAATGAGCTTTAGAAATAAAAAAACAAAAAACAAAACTATTTCCTTTCCAGCTGCCCCGTGCACAAGCTGATTTGAGAACAGTAGTATTTCCAGTTTTCCTTGTCACTGTTTGTGAGCCAATCTTTGAGAATTAATTTCTATTTCCATTCATAAGTGGTTAGATGTTGGTTTCCTTTTGCTCATTTTTAAACTGTCTTTATAATTTTTAGAGCTTGTTTGAAGTGAGTGTGGTGTTTGCTCACCCAGAAACAGTTGAGGATTGCCACTTCCTGTAAGTTGCTACACAAACAACAATGTCAGTTGTGTAACATTGTTAATGCTTTTTTGGTTTTCATGAAACAGTGTTCCCCCTCTTTGTAATGAGCATATCAGAACTTGTCATGTCTGTTAGTAGGTTTAAAATGTGCTATCTAATATAAGGTTGTAGGCATACCAGTACAGCTGGTATAGGGATTCATTTTGTCTGCTCTTGATATCTTGAGTTTAGCAGCCATATATATTAAAATATATAAAATATATTTGAATTATATTCACCCCAAAATAAACTCACTAACTTTTTTTATTAACTTAAATTTTACTTAGACGTGCAATATGCCCAGATTGCTTCAAGCCAGCCAAAAACAAACAGGTAAGGATTCCTCCTTTTTATTCTTTATTGAGTTTTGTCTGAGCTGAATATTCAGATTAACAGCAAAATGATATGCGTTAGAAATACTGGCAGTGTATTATACTAAGAATCATTCTTTCAATATTTCCATTTGCTACATTTATTTTTATCTTTTTCTACTCTGAATGCCTTTGCCTCTAGCTAGGAAGTCATAACACAAACATTCTCATATTCGTGTCACTGTCTGGGTTGTTTCCCTGGTGTTGTTAAATTTAGAACCAGTGTTTCAGTGATGTTACTGTTACCCATTTGGGGGAAATTCAGCTTTTAGGTTTTAATCCCCAAATTACCTCATTGAGGAAAATCCATGTTAATTATTAGCATTCCAAACTTTTGTCTAATACCCATTTTCTAGGAATTAGTATTTAAGAAATATAATCCAAAATAAATTATTTTACTTAGGACAATCTGAATTAATATGGCCTGTTTCAGGCTACATTTGCAAAAGGACATTTTGTTCAAACTTCCCTTTATTTGATGTGAGCTGGTCTTCATATTAATGAGCAAATTAGTTAGCATATATTTTTAGTTTCTACTATGCCAGGAGGGAATGGCAAGGTAATGATATTGGCAAGATTTCATGCCACAGATACCTAGCTGGTTTTATGCAGAGACTCAGGCATTCTTAGTTTTACTACATCTATTTTGCTGTTATGGTTGTTAAGAAGAATATAAGCATGTTACCAAAGATACATCTATTGGTCTTTACTCTTGGCTTTGATTAATTGCCGAGCCTTTTGGAACTGGGTGCAGGGTGGGTGTGTGGGGAGAGTTTGTAACATTTGTCAAATGCCCTGTACAGAAATAATTTACAAATGCAGGCAAAGCCTAAAGCACTGCTTCCCACCTTTCTCACATCATGGTACACCTAGAACATTACCTATGTGTTCAGCACCCTGAGGTTAACAAATGAATTTGCTCTAAGTTGGAGGCAATGGGCCAGGGAGTTCTCTCTGTCCAGGTCCTGCCCCTCTGCCCTTGTGACTTAGAGGGCTCAGCATCTTAGGTATAATTATAGCTTATTGCTTTGCCATACCAGTTGGAAAACTCTGTCCAAATAACCTGTAGCCATATTTATATTGAAGATCTTGTTTCAGTTTTTGTTATCTTTGAGGAAATATACAAGTACCAGCGCCAAATAATGGAATAAGGACATTTTTGTCAAAGCATCATCGACACCACATCATTTGGCCAGTAGTATAGGTGTATGTAACTTTCTTGCCTTTTTGCTGGGAGCAAATTACATGACCTTTTGAGGTTCTTTCAGGCTTAAGATTTCAGATCTTATCAATTAGGCACTTATTTTTCAGTTTTAACCCTATACCTAGGGGTTCTCCAAAATATGGTTTAGAAAACTATTGATTTGATGATAAACCATTGAGAGGCCTACATTGTGCCTCTTTAGAGTCAAGCATAATTTCTCCAAACAGAAGACACAATTATGATTTATCATAATAAGCCATTTTATATGCACTAATTTGTTCTAGTATATCTACGATGTGGTTTGGCTTTTCTTGTCTTAAAAAAACCCAGTGTGGTGGGGCGCCTGGGTGGCTCAGTTGGTTAAGCGACTGCCTTCGGCTCGGGTCATGATCCTGGAGTCCCGGGATCGAGTCCCGCATCGGGCTCCCTGCTCAGCAGGGAGTCTGCTTCTCCCTCTGACCTTCCTCCCTCTCATGCTCTCTCTCTACCATTCTCTCTCTCTCTCTCAGTAAATAAATAAAAATCTTTAAAAAAAAAAACAAAAAAACAAACCAGTGTGGGACATTTGTTGTAGATGCCCTTCTATTCAGCATGGTGAATTTGTTTAATTTATTTGTGGCTGATGAGTGATGTTGAGTTGCTAGATGCCAGGTCAGGCTGGTTGGCTCTATTTACCTCTTAGCCTGGCAACCTGCTGCTAAATTGTTCTGCTAGATCTACCTGTTATTGTGGACATAGACTAAATTGAAAAGGAGGGTTGCGGGGAGAACTGACAGTATGAATGCTTATGTTTTATTTTCTTAAGCTTTTAAGTATTTCTGTCCTGTAAGTATGGTTTAAAATGATATCATTTCTCCAACCATGTGTTTCACCTCCGATGTTTTCTTGCCTGGGTGATAAAACGTCTTTTCTTTTCATTTTTACCTTATATAGTCAGTGTTCACTAGAATGGCAGTTATGAAAGCGTTGAATAAGATAAAAGAAGAGGATTTCCGCAAGTAAGTAGAAGTATAGAAACATGGAAGCATCATGGAATTTTCGAATAAAAGGAATGTTAGAGATAATCTGGATTATCTCTAAAACAAAACTGGATGTATTTCAGGGATGACGATTGTGTCTTAGTCATTTTTATATCCCCACTCCCCGGCACAGTACCTGGCGTGTAGTAGTGTTCAATAAATGTTTGTCAAACTGATATTTGAATTTATGAATCAAATCCAACCTCTTTATCTTTAGAAGAGCATATTGAGGGAGTTGACTTGCCTAAGATTTCAGCTGGGTAATAGAGTGGACTTAGAGCCAGGGTTCCTGACTCTCCAGCCCAGAGCTGGTCCCATTACGTCCCTCATTCTGCATTTCGAGTATTATCCATCTCCAGAAGAGGGATAAAAAGGCTCATGAGTTCTTTACTTGTTAAAATATGCTGCAGTACAATAAAGCTTTTAATTCTCATTGTGTTCATTTTATTTAATAAAATATTATCATAGTTATCCTTCCAGAATATCCTTGAATAAATTTCAAACAATGAAGCTGTGAAGAAGGTTTCATTTATTTTACTGACTAAAAGCAAGCCTCAGAAAATGGAAATATTTCTATTAAATTTTAGAAAGTAAAATTAGCTACTCTCTACAAGCAATAGTTCCTGAGTTTCTAAGTAATTTTTTTGTTAAGACATCTTGGGAAACTGTGACATTTTCAAGCCAAGCATTTGGAGTAAGTCCATATCTAGTCATTTACAGGTAGACTCCAGTCCATGGCTTTGGAAGTTCCCAGATGGTAGACAGAAAATAAAGCCATATATTGGTCTTTCCTGTCTGTCTTCAGTTAGATTGAAGTTTCTTAGCTAAAAGGGCAGAGTCTGCCACATTCCACTTTTTCTGGCCCTGAGGTCATAGTTGGAATGAGAAAGAGAGAAAAATGGCAGAGACCCTCCCCACAGGTGGGACTTATTCCTGTGACTAGTCTGTCACTGCACACGAACTTTACCCAAATGATTAAGGGTTTTGTAAGCTGGCACCAAGTGTTCATGGATAGCAAAATGGCTAAAGAACCTGGAGAGGCTTCCACTTCATAAATACGGTTTTTCTCTCAACTCTCAAGGCTGTTAGAAATTATCATCTGGGAACATGAGGCCTCCTAAGTGAAAGGTAGTAGTAGCAGAGCCCTGATTTACTTAGTGCCACTCTTATGTATTAAAATGTACTTGAGGCCTAAAAGACCCTTATGATTCCGAAACTTAAAGTTAGGGAGTGGCTTAGTCCATGAGACTCGGGCTCTGTGTGTCTCAGACAATGCTGATTCATCCTAGTTATGTGGTTCGATATCATGTCTGGAAAATAGTAGCTGTAAAATTTATTTTGTTTTGCAGGCAGTTTCCTTGTCCTCCAAACTCACCAAAGGCTGTATGCACTGTTCTTGAAATTGAGTGTGCTCATGGTGCTGTTTTTGTGGCTGGTAAAATATTTAGTCTAGAATATACTTACACTGTCAACTTACTCTCCTTTCTGAAAAACTCAAATGACTCCTCTGTTTCCTTCTTATTTTTATTATTAGGTTCTGATTAGTTACCTCTTTTGAGAATTAGGACTGATAGCCAAGCTTATTTTAGGTTCTATAGGCATTTTTAAGGTCCACTTAGTTCTGTTACTTAAAATGCCATGCCAAAGGGAATGACACTTCTCAGGTTTTAATAGTTTCCATCAGAGATGGCCAGTACCCATAGAAATATGGGGAGATGCAGAGACCTGAAACCGATCAGGAGAAACTTAGCCACAGAGAGCATGAAAGTGAACTTGAAAAAATAATTTTATCATCTGCAAAATGACTGAAGACTGAGCTTCTGAAAAAAAATTGTTGCATTGACCTTCCCAAGAGGTAATCTAGCAGATAGTTTTTGTTTTGAAAGCTACATCTATTTCACAGTAATACCTGAAATGAAATTGCTCTCTAGTCTCAACTATAATACCCTGCCCCCTGGTAATGAAAGCTACCTGCCATTAGTGCAACTTTATTCTTAAAGCAGTGAGTCATGTTCTGTTAGGGTTGTGGGGTTTTTTTAAATTACAAAAAGTTCAAAATTTCCTGTATTTGAACTCTTTGGAATATATTATCACCAATGAGTATTTCATTAAAAGTATTATTAATCAGGTGTAAAAGCAGTAGTTGCTGTTTTTTTTTTCCTAATGACCCTTGGTGTGTTCCTTAATATTACTTGTTCAGTCAATCAGATTAATAAATATACTGAGCATTCCTTTAGAGCTCATTTGATGATTCATATGATGTCCTTATCCATCTCTTCTACTGTTACCTTAAATCTTTTAATTATTTATATATCTGTGCTGGCTTCCCAAATTAGATTGTTAGTTGAAGGCTAAACATTGTTTTATGTCATGGTACCTAGGATATTGGCACTCCATAAATAGTTGTTTTATCCTAATGTGTTAATGATACCATTCCATCCAGGCTACCTTATGTTTCTTTGGCAGGGAGATATAATAAATATTCCAGGAATTTACCACAGACTCCTTGGATAATTGATGGAGAAAGGAAGCTGGAATCTTCAGTGGAAGAATTAATTTCAGATCATCTTTTGGCAGTATTCAAAGCAGAGAGTAAGTGTTATAATATTTATATTTTAAATACATTGTCATTCATGAATAGGTTTCTTGGAGGTGGCAAGAAGGATTTCTAAATTTTGTAAATCACCACCAAATCTGGGCTCCTTGCCTGGCAGCTTCCCATGAACAGGGGTCACCATGTCTTGAGCACCTCTGACTTGGGCTGGATTTCTTTAAAGTATTTCTTTCCTTTCTCAAGATGACTGGGCAAATGCAAAACCACTGAAACTATTTTAAGTAAATGTACTTAAACTCTGACCTTGGGACACCTCAGACTTGGCCTCTTTTGGGGGAATATGAGGAAATTAAAACACAACTTCCACATCCAGTGCTTGTTCAAGAATAATCACTGGCAAGTGCCTAGCTCCCATCTTAACTGCTAAAATATCCTGGGATAAAGTTCAAGACTAGAGAAGATAGATCAACAGCTACCATTTTACAACAACCTAATGATAGTATGTTGTGTTTTCATTTTCCAGGTATTAATGAGCCCAGGTTTGTGGGATGAGTCAGATCCTGTCAGGTTTATGTTTTCTTTGTCTCAGTAGGTTTGTCAGGTCACGGGCAGCATAGAGCCTTGTGATTTCACCTAGGATTAGACTAGAGGAAAGGGGCTAAGATTTCAATTGCAGAAAATAATGTTGTACATCAGGAAAAACTGTAGGCAGTAAATAATGATTTACTTTGAAGTGGGTCTCCTGGCATAATTAGAACACTTTTTTGGAGGAACCAACTAGATATCCACCTTCTCTCTGAAAAACCTTAAGACAGACCTGCTTTAGGAATGGCAGGCAGGCAGATGATGAAAAGAGATATGGTTGTCCCTTCCAGCTCTCTGGCTTGTCAAGAGGAAAGAGCACTTAAAACTATATCCTTCTTATAATTTGTTGCCTATTGGGTTGGTGGACCCTCTTTTTAAGGGTCTTTAAGAATTGTTTACTGAGGGGCCCCTGGGTGGCTCAGTCGGTTAACTGTCTGTCTTCAGCTCAGGTCATGATCCCAGGGTCCTGGGATCGAGCCCTTCATTGGGCTCCTTGCTCGGCGGGGAGCCTGCTTCTCCCTCTGCCTCTGCCTGTAGCTCCCCCTGCTTGTGCTTTTTCTTTCTCTCTGTCAAATAAATAAATAAAATCCTTAAAAAAAAAAAAAAAAGAATTGTTAACTGAATAAAGAAGAAATTAATCTAGCAACCTAACATTTTCCAAAATCTTAGCAGTCAAGACTCTGGGATATTGGCATGCGTTTTTACCTACTTAATATTTACATACTGGTTATCTCATAAGAATTATCCAAGTTATGAAGAAGTGAAAATCAAGCTTTAACACAAAAAGTCTCTTCCAAACTCTTTTTGGGGCCACCTTACTCTCTTTCTATAAGATGATTCAAGAAACTTTCAGTTTTGATTATTTGGGTCCTAAGGAAGCTCCCATTACCAATAGGGCTGTTGGGAGGCTCTGAAACAGCTGTATGTTTCCCCCTTGCAATCTTTCATGAAGTTAGCTTGGTTTCATTTTCCATTTGAGGGGGAAAAAATTATACCCAAACTGAAAATGAAGCAAACTGTGTGTTTAGCATCTGTAATTATATCCTGAGGAAATTTATTGAGAGCTGCTTGAGAAAAAGCAGACCTCTGGGCTTCTGTGCTAAATGGCTCCTTGTTGGGGATAAAACCTGTTGTTTGAAATGCCTGATTGGTAGCATCAATCTGCTAAACCTGTGCATCTCAGATATATTGTTCTTTCTGTGGTTCATGTCTGACAGCTCTGGGAAGATGGTTCTGACTGTTGTACCTCTATGGTTTACAACTCTCTGAAAGTAAGCAGTATTATATGAAGTAATCTAGCTACTTATATAAAGATTCCTTCCCCATGGGGCACCTGGGTGACTCAGTAGGTTGAGCATCCGACTCTTAGTTTCACTGTGCTCTGTGCTCAGTGCCCGAGTCTGCTTCAGATTCTCTCTCCCTCTCCCTCTCATCTACACTCTCTCTCTCAGATAAATAAATAAAATCTTTAAAAAATTAAATAAATGAATATATAAAAATAAAAAATAAAGATTCCTTTCCCTAAATGGGAGATACAAACTTGTTGCTCAGTTACTTTAAACAGGCACATCATATTATCCCCTCACTAGTCCCCTAGTTAATGAGTAGTAAACTTTGACACACTCTCAAAGTCAATGTGTCTAAGAAATTTTCCCCTAACCCATTTATTATTTCACTCATTGAATAAATATCTGTCATGTTATTTCCCTGCTGAAAACTTGTCAATGACTACATACAGGATAAAAGTCCAAACTACTGAACTTGATCTTCTGAGGCCTTTATTATCTGGCCTCTGCCCATTTGTCAGTTGCATCGTCTGTCTGCCCTGGGTATGCGGGCCACTGCAGACTAGCTAAACTGCTGAACTGCTGATCATTCTTACCCTTGGTTGGTTTTGTTTTTGAAATATCTGTTCCTTTGAGCAAAAGCCTCAAAGAACTTGCAGAATTAGGGGGATAAGACAAGGCATAATGTGAATTTAGGAAACTCACCTGGCTGGCTCGGTCGGTGGGGTATGTGACTCTTAGTCTCAGGGTTGTGAGTTCGAGTCCCACGTTGGGTATAGAGATTACTTAAAAATAAAATCCTTAAAAAAAAAAAAAAAAAGAAAACCCAACCAAATTTTAAACATGTATTTCCTAATACTTAAGATGGTAACTCCTTTTCCTTTTTTTGTCAGCTAATATCCATAATTGCACAGGAATAAAGGGTTAAAGGTTACCCCCAAAAATATTCTTAATGAAGTGTCCAAATTTGAAATACTTTTCTAAAAGATATAATAAATGTCCCTTCTTCCTTTGTCTAGATTTAATGTTTCTCTGGACTTCTCAAGAGCCTTGCTCTCTGCAACTCTTTCTTATTAATGGGCTAGAATTTGTGGAAGTTTTATGGGCTAGTTTATGAACTGGAGATTTCTGGTCTGATTTAGCTGTCACTGGTAGACTTATCTCTTTGTGTCCTGTTCATTCCCTTCACCCCTACCAGGGACAGGTTATGGCTCAGTCACTGTGGATCCCCTGGTGCCCTGGTTTGGAGATGGAAGTGGGCAGGTGTAAGACAGATCACAGCCCCAGGGAGTCAGTATCTTTCAGCTTCCCAAATACCACCTGGACTCTCCATTTAGCTATCCACCCCTATTTAGTGCTACTCTTGAGTCTGTTGACTGCCTAGAAGCTACTGATGTTACTCTGGTTTTTATTAATAGCTTAAAAATGGACTATAAACATGGAAGGGAGGGTTCTTTGGGACTTAATGGTTCACAGAATCCTACTCCTTGCCTGGCTTAGATTCTCTGCCTCAAGAAGAGCCTGACCCTGTAGCTTTCGTGGCTGCTTACCTGACTGGGTCTCAGGTGTTAACGCAACAGCTTAAATTCTAGGCCTACATTGGATATCTAGCCCTTACCTAGCCAGCCCTGCGTTGCCACTTTTGGTGAGACCCATAGCTTTGAGCCCTGGGGGCAGAGAGGAGCCTACTTGACCCTGGCGGTACATGACAGACAACAGCTCAGAGCCTATTTCCCCAAAGTGTTGACCTTGGCTTGCAAAAGGGATTTCTTAGAGGTGAAAGAAGAATGAAATCCTACTTTCTTCACAGCTAAACATCCTAGGGAAGAGGGCTAATCTTCAGTGTCATTTTCATAGGACTTTTCAAGCCTGTTAACCTTCCTTTTTCTAAAATCTACATGGGACCTTTACATACAGACTCTTTTCTTGGAAAAAGTGGCTGTCAAAATGGTGTTCACCCTCCTTCCACCTTTCCCATTTGTTCTTCCCAGCTATCCCATTCTTCCTCATCTTGTGCTCTCCAAAGTGGCTGGACCATTGAGGAATAAATACAAACCTCATAGCTCATGCTGTAACTGTGTTCTTTGTACAGCAATGTTCCTGTATGCTTCCTGTCCTAGCCCTACCCACTATATTACAGTCCTTATCCCTCCACAAACAGTAAGCCCTGTGTCCATCTTGTTTGTCTCCCCAGGATCTAGCACAGTGACTTGCACATGTCCACTGTAGATGGGCATGTGCATGAATGAATAAATCAGGGTGTGAGTCTGAGTTCTAGCCTCCAATATATGTGTTCAGAGATCTTACACTTTGCCAAATTCTAATGACTGACCAGAGTTCTCCAAACATAGCAGCCTTTTCTAATCCCTGCTCTGAGAAGACTGGTCTTGCTTTCCCTGTGTGCATGAGTCTGGACTCTTCAGCCTGTTTTTGTGGTGGTTAAGAGACTCTGGAGTCAGATTGTCTGGTTCAAATCCTGACCTTATCACCTACCAGTGATGTGATCTTAGGCAAGTTACCTATCCTGTCTCATTTTCCTTGTAAGTAAAATGAGGATAATGATAGTACCTACCTCATAGTGTTAACATATATGAAACATTTATAATAATGCCTGCCTGTGGTAATGTTTCCTATGGTGATGGTGGTGAAGTCGTCAGTTTCGTATCTAAGGAAGTTGTCATATAACCCCTGCCCCCCCCTTTTTTTACACCATTTTCCATTCTAATATTTGCAGCTTTTTAGTCTAGGATGATCCATCTATCTTAGAATGAACACTAGTTTTGTGATCCCAGCTTAGGTTTGTTTAACATAAATAATTTGCTTTAAAACCCTTTTCTCCCCCTCTTCTTCTTTTCATAGAGTTTAATTTTCAAATAAATGTTTTTGCTTTGTTTTGTTTTAAGGAAAAAAGGAAAGATGATAGATTTTTCACCATAAGCTTGTGGCCAAGCTTGTAGTGGAACCTTCCTCCAAACAGTGCTCTCTCCCTTTGGCTTTCCCCTTAAGGTCTAGCTTTGACATCAGGAACAGCTCGGCCATTTAATCATGTGGTCTTGGGAAAAATAGTTATCCTTTTAGAAGCTTGGTGTTCCTTTATTTAATACCTACATCATAAGGTTATAATAAAGATTAAAGGAAATAATGTATGCAGAATTTTAGCTCAATGCCCAGCATATAACAGGTGCTCAATAAATGGTATTTCTTATCATTGCTATTTTTATTAGAGGCGGGATGACTATCCCTTGGTATTCTCCTGTAGATTGTTTAAGACAAATGAAGTTTTTACCAAAGGGTGGGAATGAAAATCTTAGGGTTATTATGTTACTGATTATTTTTCTTTATCTGCTTTGCAAAGGTTTTAATTTTTCCTCCTCTGGAAGAGAAGATGTAGATGTGAGAACATTAGGAAATGGTAAGATTGCACTAGCGTCACTTGATTAGAGCTAACTTTCAGACTATCACCCTTTTCAGACAGCAGGTTCACTGTAGTCGCTTAGTAAAAACCAAAGTGGGCAGAGCCCAGAGCTTCTCCCAGTGAGGAAGCTTTGTGGATTGTGGAGCTACCTTTATAAATTATATGATTGTGTCTTAACAGGATTCATTTCTTAAGAGGCCATCCTTATTGCATACCTATAGGTTCTAAGGGACTTTTATGTGCATTAACAAGGCGGTGCCTGAGTTTTTCCAAAAGTTTGCTTATTAATTGTTCCATTTGATAACATTTCAGCAGTACCAGTATAGTTTTCAAAATGCACATCTTCATTTAAAAAGCGATTCTGCTCTCTTAGCCTCCATTTCTCTCATTTTACATTGTTGCATTACAAAAAAGATGATGAGAGTTAATCCTGAGCTTGAGATTAATAGTCCCTTCCCCTTATGGAATCATAGCTTTTCCGTTTCACTAGTGGATTTGGCTTAGAAGAATGGATTTCAGCCTGGTATACCTGGGCATTGCCGTGTGTGATAACGTTACTTTAGTGTAATCAGGTCAATTAGCAGTTGTTTGGATTTTATTTTGTAATTAACACAGGCTTGTTCATGGACCTTTGGGAAAACAGTCATTTTCACATATTGCCTGTAATGGGGTTTAGCAGCCCCCAAAAAGCCCCTTGATTCTTTCACACATCCTTCCCTCTCCCAGATGTAGTCATGTCACTAAACTTTCAGTCCTCTAGAGCTCAACTCGTTTTTTCACACCTCCTAACCCTCTTGCATTAGCCCAAATGTTAACTCCATCAACACGTTTCTGTTTCATGACGGGTGTGTGCTGCCAGGAAGGCCCTTTGCAATTGAGCTGGTGAATCCTCATAGAGTACATTTCACTTCACAAGAAATTAAGGAACTTCAGCAGGTAAACCACTTCATGACATGGAAATTGTCATGTTTCTGCAACTCTGTAACTGAACTAGAATTGCTAATTGTTTTTCCTTTTCTGCTACTACAGAAAATTAATAATTCGTCTAACAAAATCCAAGTCCGTGACTTGCAGCTTGTCACAAGGTAAGGGTAGACTCACTGGAGCTGATCTCAAAAGGGAAGTTTTGGTTGTAGGTCATTTATCTGTTAAGGGAATTGTATCCAGAATATATAAAGAACTCTTACAACTCAATAATAAGAAAACAACCCAATTAAAAATGAGGGAGATGATTAAGTGGACATTTCTCCAAAGAGGATATACAATTAATGAATGAATACATGAAAAAAATGCTCAGTATCATTTGCCATTGGGGAAGGGCAAATCAAAACCTCAGGATAGCTCACTGTACCCTCACTAGGATGGCTATAATCAGAAAGACAGAAAAAAAACAAATGTTGGCAAAGATGTGGAGAAATCGATTGCTGTGGGATTGTAAGCATGGCCACTTTGAAAGACAGTTTGGCAGTTTCCCAGAAGGTTAAACGTAGAGTTACCATTATGACCTAGCAATACCACTTCTAGATATATACCCAAGAGAAATGAAAGTGTACATCCACACAGAGACTTCTACATGAATGTTCAAAGTAGCATTATTCATAATACCAAAAAAGTAGAAACAACCCAAATGTCCACGGATAATATATGGTATCTCCATACAATGGAATATTATTCAGTAAAAAAAAAAGGAAAAAAGTACTGACTGATATATGCTCCAACATGGATGAACCTTGAAAACATTATGAAGTGAAAGAAGCCAGAGACCACATACCACATATTGTATGATTCTATTTTATATGAAATATTCAGAGTTGGGAAATCTGTAGAGATAGAAAGTCAATTAGTGGTGCCAAAGGCTGGGGGAAACAGGACATGGGAAGTGACTGCAAATAGGTATGGAGTTTCTTTTTTGGGGTGATGAAGTATTCTAAAATTAGATTGTGGTGATAGCCACACAACTCTGTAAACATGCTAGAAATCACTGAATCGTACAGTTAAAATAGGAATTGTATGTAAATTTTATCTGAATAAAGCTATTTTTAAAGAAAGGGAAGTTTGGGGCAAGGCTTGTGTGTATTCTGTGTACTTAGATAAACTTCCTTTTACTGTTTTTGTGTAGAGAGGCAATAGGACATATGAAAGAAGGTGAAGAAGAAAAGACCAAGTCCTATAGTGCCTTAATATGGACAAATAAAGCCATACAGAAGAAAGACATTGAATTCCTAAATGGCATAAAGGTAGCTAAGTGCTCTAACTCTTTTTATTTTATTTTTTGATTGCCTATAAAAGAGTCCTTTCACTTTTAGTTTATTACTAGCAAGTCATAGAGCATGGGCTTTGGGGAATGTGAGACCTGCTTTCAAATCCTGGCTTTGCCATTTGCTGGTTGAATGATTGGGCAATTCATCGAGCCTGTTTGAGAGACAGCATTGCTAGTGATGAAGAGCCTGCCTCTGGGCACAGATTGCTTGGATGCAAATCCTGGATCTGCCTTTCATAGTTGTGTGACTTTGGACAAGTTGCTTATCCTCTTTATGCTTCAGTTTTTTCATCTATAAAATTAGAAGAATGAAATGAGTTTAGTCATATCAAGCACTTAGAACAGTATCTGGCACATAGAAAACCTCAGCAATGCTATTTTTATATTTGGCCATCTGTAGAAAGGAAATACAAAATAGAATTGACCTAATAAAACTGATGCTAAGGTTAAGTGCATAAATAAAACATAAATTTTTCAGAACGATAGTATATGGACAGCACAAATATTTGGGCACATGCTGGATTTTCCTTCACATGAGCATATCACTGTAGAGGTTCTGCCTATTCATTTGCATATTTCTTCCCACCTGTCCCTGACTCTTCCTGTAACGATAATTTACTCTCAAATGTAAGGAATGAGCATAAATGGGCACAGAGATGTGTACAGTTATCACAACATTGTTTAAATGGGCCATATTTTGTAATAATTTAGATGACCTACAAGAGGAGAATGGCTTAATCTTACCATTTATCTGTATGATGAGCTATTGCTAGCCAGTTGTTAGAAATTATGTAGTAGATAACTATTTATTAACAAAGGAAAATGTTCCTGATAGATGCTAAGGGGGAAGAAAACAAGCTATAAAGAGTATATAGAGGGGGATACATTGTGATTTAAACACACACACACAAGTGTGTGTTTGTGTATACACATATATATGACTACATAGAAAACAAATTGTATGGCAAAAGATACCATAAATAGGATTTATACTTATGAAAAATAGACAAAGGATATGAATAAGCAGCTGAAAACGAGCAACTCCAAATGGCCAAGAATCATCTGAATAGATGTTCCACTTCTGGATTGAAGTAACAATAAGACCTCACTTTAGTCCTCTGAGACTAGTAACACCTACTGGGTGGCATGGAGGAGAAAGCTAGTTGCATACTTTGTCAGTAGAAATATAAAGTATTTAGCCTTTTTGGAAGACAACGTAATGATGACTGTAAAAATTAAAAATATACTGGTCTTCTACCCAACACTTTTACTACTGGCAATCTATCTGGAAGAAATAAAACTCCATTGCATAAGTATATGTGCACAAAGATGTTTACTTTATTCAAAGCGGCAAAATCAACAGCACAACTAGGAACAAAGTGAATTTCCTTCAAAGAGGAAAGGGAAGAACAAGCTGGCATATTATAAAGCTATTTAAAAAAAAAACTAAAACAGCATGTGATCCCATTTAATTTATGTTATTTTATGTATATATACCTAAAATTGTTGGAAAAAAGGATAGAGGTAGGTCTACAGCTATGACTTACAGAAATACCCATGACATTATGAGAAAGAAAGTGAAGTGCAGAATCATGTTTATAGTATAAGTGTCTGGTGAAAGCATAGGAGTCATTCACCCGCTTAGACAAGTTCATCTCTAACCCTGGGGGTGGACTAGATCACCCCCAGAGGGCCTCCAGGTCTCAGGTTCTGTGATTTTGTATCAGAAGCTATTGGCTTTTGGCCCATTATCTAGGGCCTTTAGGATGATAGTTTAACTCTAGACAGATATCTTTAAGATTACAAAACAAATTTTTTTTTAAAGATTTTATTTATTTGACAGAGAGAGACACAGCGAGAGAGGGAACACAAGCAGGGGGAGTGGGAGAGGGAGAAGCAGACTTCCCGCTGAGCAGGGAGCCTGATGCAGGGCTCAATCCCAGGACCCTGGGATCATGACCTGAGCCGAAGGCAGACGCTTAACGACTGAGCTACCCAGGCGCCCCGCAAAACAAATTTCTAAACCTCTTTTCCATCACGTGTACAAGTCATTCAGAATGCTGGGGGGAAAATGAACTCATTTTAAAAATAGATTCAGGGGCACCTGGATGGCTCAGTTGGTAGAGCATGTGACTCTTGATCTTGGAGTCGTGAGTTCAAGCCCCACATTAGGTGTGGAGCCTATTTAAAAAAAAATAGATTCATCATCTGGAGGTAGCTATACTCAGAGTTAATTCAGAAATAATGCTGAATAATGCTGAAAGATGATTTTTGGAGGTACAGAGTAAGCAGCGAAAGGGTCTCTTTTAATGGTTCACAGCCCAAATAGACTGATGGGACTAGCTGACTTCTAATAATTTTTTGTGTTGGGCTTAAGACTATTTTCAAATATTCCTATTGTCATCAAAAATACAAAAACTGAGTTACTGTCCCATTTTGAGAAACAGTCACTTCAAATTTACTACGTGTCTCTTCTTTTTTAAGGGCAACCTAGTTTTAAGGAAAAAAAAACCTTTTGGGTATATGTATATGTGTTTCTGAAAATTCAGCAGAATGGGGCCAGCAGAGTGCGTTGTTAGAGTAAATGGTTTCCTTTTGTCTACTGAAAGCAAGCAGACACAAAACACACACAGGAGTGTGTGGTGATCGAGCGTTATGTTGGAAGTCCAGTGGTGGGTCTACCAGCTCAGTTAGTACTTCCACGAGTTCATGGTTTGCAGTCCTGGGAGTGAGTAGCAAGAAAGGAAACAGGGAGAAGAGCACTCTGGTCATTCATTTCAAGCCAGCTATTTCTGTATTCTACAGTGGAGGCCATATCTGTACAGATTCCTTAACAGTTCAGCCCTGTCCTTTTTTTGTCTTTGTGGCCAGAGAAATGTCAAACCTTATGGAGACAGCCTATCTCAGCAGAACAAAGTGCTTCTAAAATCAAAGCATTAGAGAATCATAAAACCCATGAATTAGGAGGGGCCGTTGATTCACTGCTATGATCAAAACAGTCACACCATTTCCAGTATAGTCTTTGTCAGAACTTGCTCTTTCTTTCTTGGTGGAGAACTTGATAGAGGGGAGACCAGACAGAAATCCTTCTCTTCTTAGCATGGCTTCAGGCACTCCCAAATCATGTAAATTAGGAAGAAGTTGTTCCAACAAGAAATGGCAGAAGATTCAAAGTTCTTATGAACCTACATTTCTCGTTATGCCCAATATCTATTTTTAAAACTTGGAATTAGTTGACCTTCTACAATATTAATCTCTATTTCTTGATTTAGATCTTGTGACAAAAGGAAATCTCTAATTATAAGAAAAACAAGCCCGTGCCCCTAAAAAAAAAATCTGAATTGTAAAAAAGGCATGCAGTATTATTATTCTCAAGTAATTTGAACTGGGCTTACAAATACTGAGAGGTCCTGGTTTATTGTACACACTTCTTTGCAATTATTATATTGAAACACTACCCTAAACAGTGATGCAACTGTTAATTTTCCAGATATATCTTTTCATACAACAACAAAATAACCTTGTACGTAGGTGTATGGTTGTCCTTAAAACATGCACACTGCCCGTACCCACCAGTGATGCTGAGGTCTCACCTTCTACAAATAGCCATTTCTCACTTCAGCTCTGTTAGGTCATCTGTTGGGTTGCTGGGGGGTGGGTGGGTAAGAACAGGTCTTCTAGAAGAGCTCTGTTAAAGTAAAGAACAGACTAGAACTCCAGGGTCCTGCTCAATTCAATTAATTGATTAAATATTAGAGCAAAAGAGACCTTGGGGATCATTTACTTCAAAGCCTTTTTTAAAAATGGCATACTGGGGCCCAGTAAGTGAGTAACTGTGGATGAGGTTATGAAAAGTTCCACAGAGCCTGAACCTTAGGGAATACAATTTATTATAGTATTAGTATCTACCCTGACAGTGATAGATGAGGTCCGCCGAAGAAAACATCAGTGGTGGGGCATGGATGACAGAGGAGGTGTTGAGACAGGCTTCCCGGGTCAGCAAAGCTGACTCCATGGTTGTGTAACGCATCCTCCTCTAGGACTTAAAGATCGACCAGAAAACACCTCTGCGGGTCCTTCACCGGAGGCCCCTGGCTGTGAGAACTCGCATCATTCACTCCATGGAGACATGCTATGTGGATGAACATCATTTTCACCTCTATCTGAAGACTCAGGCTGGAACGTATCCTTTCGCCTCCCGCATAGCAATCCTCTAACCCTGTCGGAGGAGTTCACACTGCCCTAGAAAATAGGTGCAACTTGATCTAGGAACAATTAGGGTAAGGATTAGGTTGGGGAAGAGTCCTTTTTTGGGGGGGGTAGGGTTCCCCTCTAATTTGTATCTTTCAAAATGACATTTTAAACCGCGAGGCGGCAGCCAGTAGAGCGTGAACTTTCAAATAGTGTGTCACACAATTCTGACTGCATAGTAAGTACTCAGGAAACAGTTCTGATTGATTCATTTATTGATTTGTGTCTTTATACATTCTACAAGTCACATTTTCATAACCACACTTGGGTCCTTTCAGCATTTTGAGCATTTGCCCCAAATCACTAAACACTGATAGTAGATGGGAGTGGTCCTACTTTACATACTGATCTTAACTTTATTTGGCCACTGGCCCAAAACAAGAGAATAGTCCAAAAATGATCACTTGTTCATATGGTACCCTGTTTTGTGTGGTTTTGTATCCGTTCTGAGTTGTTAGTTAAAATACATCAGGGAGTTGCCAGAGTCCTAGCTCTAGTTTATTTTTTAAAAGTGCTCCTAATATTTGTTTGTTTCTTGGTTTTATATTATTTAGTGATCCAATAGCATGAAGTGGTAAGATACCTAATATAAAACTAATGACATATTTATGGGTATAAGGCAAAAAATGTCATTTTAATCCCCAAGTAGCATTCTCACCATGTTGCTGTGGTCTGTTTCTCTTTTTCCATCAACCTCCTCTCTCTTCTTCCTGCCCAACCCCACGCCACTCCACCCCGTCCTATCCCAGAAGTGACCAGGATTTGCTAAGCTGAAATAGGTAGATGTTATTTACTCTTAAAATCTCTTGCATTTTTAGTTCGGATCAAGGGATGATCTGTTTAGACCGCAGTGGGCAGACCTTTATAGCTTTGTTGTTTGGAATAGATGTGCCCACCATAGGTGGAATGTGGATGGAATTTCAAAGAAATCACAGATTTTTAAAAAATCTTTTTACCTAATTCCAGCTTTTATTTTAGAGTGCTAAGGTGAAATGCAGTGGTCTTTTGAAGAAACTGTCTTTTCAATCTTACTAAAACATTCTTAGGACCAGGCATGTATATGTTACTTATGGGCTTAGCCAAGAAAAACCGTCTCCTAAAGCTTTAGATACCATGTGGTTATACACAGAAGTAGGCGAATTTTTCACATATATTGGTCAGTATGCTGAACTAGTTCATTTGACATACACCTCATCCTTCTGGATATGAATAAGAATTCTGGGCCTTTTAACTGGTTGTTCTGGGGCTTTTTGGTCATCTCCCCTCATCATTGCTACTCAGAAGTAGCATTCTCAAAAGAAAGAGAAAAAGACAATTGTTGAGTAAGTATGAGTTCAGCAAAGAAGGCAGTTACTAGATACTTACATGTCTTAAGCTTGAGTCAAAACATTTGGTGAAAGTAGAGTGAATACACTTTCAGAAAGTGAGGAGGACATAATATCAGCATATTCATGGTGTAAGATTTTTATTTATCATCTGAGAATAAACTTATTTTTCCTATTCAAATTATATTAAAATTTTATACTATGTGCCAGTTTATAGAACACAACATAATGCTGAATGAGTTTTTACTGAATGCTAGCAAAATTATATCTCTCAGACAACTATTTTCAAGGCTGTAGTAGAGTCCTGTGTAAGGAACGTTAATGTAATCTTAATGAGTAATTCTAGGATTGGCCATTGACATCAAAATTTGAAGACCTTATGAAGGAAACATGAAATCGCCCCTTTCAAAAGACTTAATTCTCTTGCTAACCATGTAAAAGTTGCAAACAGCTAAAACTTGGGTCCTTTGATAATCCTTCTGAAGGGCCTTTATCAGCGACTAAATTAATATTCTTTTTTTTTTTTAAGATTTTATTTATTTGACAGAGAGGCAGCGAGAGAGGGAACACAAGCAGGGGGAGTGGGGGAGGGAGAAGGAGACTCCCCACCAAGCAGGGAGCCCGATGTGGGGCTCGATCCCAGGACCCTGGAATCATGACCTGAGCCGAAGGCAGACGCTTAACAACTGAGCCAACCAGGCGCCCCTAAATTAATATTTTCATTGTCCCTCCCATCCTACTGCTATTGTGTCACTGAGTCACATTACCAGGAAAGCCATCATTGTGTGACCCTGTGGAAACCTATCATCTGGCAGATGTTGGCTGCCATCATTGAAAAATGGGACCAAAAAGATAACAAAATGGAATTTGTGGCAAAGAAAAAATAGTGAAGGTTGTTTTGTTTTGTTTTGGTTAGCATTGAAGTACAGTTCATTTTAAAAATCCATATCCAGGGACGCCTGGTTGGTTCAGGCAGTGGAGCGTGGGACTTTTGATCTCAGGTTGTGGGTTTGAGCCCCATGTTGAATGTAGAGATTACTTAAAAATTTAAAAAAAGATATTTTTTATTTCAATTTTTCACTTAAATTCTAGTTAGTTAAAAATCTTAAAAAAAAAAAATTAAAAAAATAATCCATATCCAAACCTTGGCACTCGGAGATGAGCTAGAGAAAAAAGAAAGTCATGACTTTTGGGAAGTTTGATGTAAACACAGGTGCCAAGTCCTGCTGTTAGCTGCCAGGCTGGTAGGAACCAGTTTGCCAAAGCTTATTTTCTAAGATACACATCACGGGTCACAGCTCAGAAATAACCTCTGCCTTGTAACATTTCTGCTTTTGTCTGTCATTTCCCTTTCACCTATCAAATCTCACCAGTTAGTGCTGCATAGCTATCTCCATTGTTTCCTTAAACAAACCCCAGCTACATTAAAGAGTTTGTACATGGAGACTTTGGGAGAACCAAGCCGAACATTGGTTCTCTAATGAATGTGACTGCAGACATTCTTGAGCTGGATGTTGAGGTAAACCATTTTATTGTAGAAGTACCCACAATTTGTACATTGAATTTGTACATTGAATTCAGCCAAGGTTATGCTTTTGGGGGAGGGAGTGGGCATTAAGCCAAATAGGTATCTATCTCTACTCACCTTAACAGGTATTTGAAAATGGTCAAAATCTCACAGTGGCATTGTATTGCAGGGAGGGACTGTCTTTGGAATTTTTATCTTCTTAAAAAATACAAGATCTTATTTATGATCCTTGCAAATATATAGCTAATTTACATGGAGTGTGAGGTCTTAAACCCTTAAATGGAGCAAGGAAATGAAACTTAAGAGCCCTTCATATGTCCTTTGGACTCTACAGAGTTCATTTCCATACCTATTTTGTTTTATAAAAAATTTAAGGCAGACTACTCAGAAACATACATTCAGGACAGGTATAGAAAATGGGATGAGCCAATGGTTATTAATAAAAGCAGTTGTATAAGGGACCCCTATGATGTGGTATAAATTCTCTGCTCTTAGAGTCTGAATTGAAACAAGGTTAAATTCTTAAGTATTTAGAAGAGTGGATTGAATAGGTCCTTCCGGCAGTTCTCCATAAAAATATATTTTCTCATTTGAGCATCAAAAAGGTACTAAGTCACAACTGTGCTCCTTGACGAATACCTGATGAAGAATGGGGTCCCTCTCCCGTGCCTCCCCACCAGACAAAAAAAAAATTAGGAGACTAGCATTTTGCACTTGGGATTAATATCAGTTATCAAAAGAAGTGGGTACAGTTGCCTCGTGTGCAGACAGCTATGGTAATCACATATTACTGGAGCATTATCAGCTTACCAGCGATTCTCTTGAGTGCTTTCAGCTAGATTTTATACAGCTCCTGCAATACAGCCATTGACAGCACCTTCAAGGTTGCAGGGAGCCTTCTCAGAGGGACTGTTATTTTGAGGAAGACAACCTTTTGTTAAAGAAAATCTCACCTGCATTCATCTTCTTTGATCTTAATTCTCAAAACAACTTAGGAATGTCAAGAGTCATGTCAAGAGTCACGGGCCAATGTTCCTCATCCCTGTTTGTCCATTGGAAATCACCTGTAGGACTTTTTAAACCTCCCCTGCTTTCAACACATACAAGACTGTGTGACCTGCAATGTTTAGTTTTCAGGCATGAGAAACAACCCATTAGGTTATATATGGGTGTTCAGTATGTGGCTATGTTCTGAAATAGAACCAAAATATCTTCTTGGGATTTCTAAAAGATACACATGTACACACACAATAGTTATTTGGGCTTTTCTGATAAAATTTTTCTGATTCTGGCAGTGACTCATAGATTAATTTAAAAAATCACTTGTGGTAAAGCATTTTGGGTTTTAAAATTTAAGTCTCAAAAAAACCAGTAACAAGACATGGGCACAGTGGACTTTTTTAAACTTCTCAAATTAGGCCCTCTAGGGTAGTTAAACTACTTCTAAAGCCTAGGACATGATTGTTTTATGTGGAGAAAAAAAAATAGTCTGCTACTGTAATTTCATTATGACTTAAATCAAGGTTTTGTTCTAGAAGAGCCAAACCAAGTGAGTAGAAATAAACTGATTTTAAAAGAAACAAAAATTCTGAAATGATACACAACGATCATTTATCCTTTTCTAGTTCTTCCATACTCATTTATTTCTCATTTGGTTGCTAAGTTACAAGTAACACCATAAGTGAATAGACTAGTGCTTGTTAAATGTAAGATGGGAAAATGAAAATGATCTGAAGAATAAAAGTTGCTGAGACTTCTGAGGGAAAGTTGGTGTTGCTCCCTGAATTTGTTTCTTTACCCATAAATAACATTTACAAAATTTAGATGTACTCTAGTCTCTTATTGGCCAAAAGGTACAATTAATTTAACCAGCTGAGTAACCAAATACCCTGTGAATTCAGAAACAGACCTTGGGTCCAAGAATCTCAAGGCCTAGTTATGGATTTTAGAGTGTTGAATTGTGGTATTCAATGACTTTTCTTCAAATGAAGCTTCTTCTGCTGCCTTTTATTAAAACTATTAAGTTTATGCAGCATTACCAGCAAATGCTGACTGGAACAGTAATATGTTTTCATGTCTTGTTTTCTTCCTTCTAGTCTGTAGATGTTGACTGGCCCCCTGCTCTGGATGACTAGCTTTCAACTGGACACACAGAGTAGGGTTTTCATGGCATGATGTGGACCTCCATTCAGCATACACTGTATAATGGCTGTTTACTCACCATTACAGTGTCTTGGAAACCATTTGGATCACGTTGATCTATGTATTTTAAAATTTGTTGTAACATCTCAGGATCTATGTATGTGTATATTTTGTGTTAAATGTTCTAAGGATGTCATGATTTTTCTTGTTCCCTCTCCAACCCCTACATGCCAGACTATGAATAATGAAAACATTCTCTTAATTCTTTCATTTAGAGAAGTACACAAACAGGATACATTCTGATAATCTGAGAAGCTATAATTTCTTTCAGCAAAATTTCCCTCCACAAGACATACTACCTTCAAAATCATGTTCTAAATTTTAAAAATGATCTTGGTAAGTTATATCTAGATTTATACAGTACAGTATTCTATAATATTCTAAGATATCAAATGCAAATCTAACATCATTAATATTTTTCCCAGTAAGCTTTAAGCAAGCTATTACCAACAGAAGTACTTTTTGTATAATCTGTCACAAATCTTAATGACTTCAAGTTACTATTTTGACGACTTAAAAATATCAATATGTTTCCTGGGGAGGGAAAGTGAAACCTTAGGAATTGAGGCATACCCTGTTAAGAGACTTCCATAAATCTTTTAAATAAGAAGACACAAGTGCCTTCAGTAACTTCAAACCCAGGGATAAGATTTTGAAAAATTAAGATTGCTAAACAATCTGCTATTATACCAGAGTGCTTCAATATATTATCCAATTTCAAACATCTTCATCAAGTGGATAGGATATTATCATTTCCATTTTATAAATATGAAACCAAAGAATGAAAGTTAAATGATTTATCTAAAATTGTTACTTCCATATCAGGGGCTAAAACTGAAGTTTCCTAGTCTCTAGGGTCCTTTCTTAAGAACTCTTGTTATTGAGCACCCACTGTGTGAAGGAGGCACCTGAGAATGTCATTTAAATGCACTAACCAAAAAAATAATAATAATTAAAATAAACAAATGCACTAACCATCAGAAATGACTTTTGGAATTTAGAAACCAAATCAAGGAGCTTGCCAAAAAATAGACCAAGTATATTTCATATGATCTTACATGATTACCATTTGTTAATAAATTAATCATCAGTTGGTACTATGAAGAAGGAAAAATGAAATAAGCTAAACCTAAAGAAAATGGATGGGTCATTAAGAGAAACGTTTCAGCAGTCTCATTAAAATTTCAGATTTAAGTAGTAATTTCTATCACCCTGATTGAACTGATAGCTTATTTTAGAACACATGTGACTTGGATAGTATTGGATTGTTTCCCATCTCTTCATTAAACATACTTCATAGATACCAAGATGTATTATTCATTTTAGAAATCAGGAAAATTATTTAATTGACATGAAGAAGTTTCATATGTGAATACTAGCAAATAATTGTTTCACTATTTTCCATGCCAGAAAATAAGAAAGGGATAATAGAAATAAACTTCTGATAAACAGGTAAGAACTTTTGTGTGAATGTTTCTCCGTTTCTGGGGAAGTTTTGCTACAAAAAAGATTTAAATAATTTGGGAGATAGTCTTTTGCATGTTTCTTTTTAGCTCAACTTTGAATTTAGTGGAATCTGCAAAATGGAAAAATTAAGAACTTCCTTAATAGATTTCGATTTAAATTTCTATTCCTGACATTATGCAAAATTTCAAGCAAAAAGTAAACATTAGCTGTATATACTTTACTTATTCCATGTTCATATATTATGAGACACAGGTTGTTAAAAATCAGTGTAGGTCTGTTTTATGCAAGAACTAGGAACATTAATGAAAGTACTATAGGTTCACTTTTGCCTATATAAAATTATTTTAAAATTAGTTTTGTGATCTCTTCTCATGGCTTTATTTTTTAATTTTTTTTCTTTTCAAATTTTTATTTAAATTCTAGTAACATATAGTGTAATATTGGTTTCAGGAGTAGAATTTAGTGATTCATTACTTAACAAAAAACACCCAGTGCTCATCATAACAATTGCCCTCCTCAATACCCATTCATAGCTTTTTTTCCCCAAAATTTTATTTAAATTCTAGTTAAATCTTTTATAACACTTAGAGAAAGGGCCCTTTTTTACTTCTTAGTATTTCTTTGTCCCAAATATAGTCTGTGATTTAGTTTAGGAAAAACATCAACTCAACTCTGAATACCTGGAAAAGTTAGAAATAAGGAAAGGATGGAGAGGAAGGAAGGAAGGAGGAAGGAAGGGAAGAATTTACCAAGTAAGCAAGCAAGATAACCGGTTACATTAACAAGTTATATGAAATAAACTTAGAAGTTAAATTTCCATTTCTAAAGAGAAAAACATCTTACTTAGGCTGATCTTTTCTTTTGAAGCTTTATTCTTGATTTTTAAGCCCATACAAAGAGAATGAACTTTGATGCAAGGTTTTCTGATTTTTAAAACTGGTGCCCTTTTCGTGCCTGGGTGGCTCAGTCAGGTAAGTGTCTGACTTTTGATCTCAGCTCAGGTCTTGATCTCAGGGTAGAGTTCAAGCCAAGCCCCATTTTTTTTTAATGGTACTTTTTTTTTATTATGGAAAATAAATACTGCTTTTATGATATTCATTTAATTTTTTTCACCTTGAAATAATTTCAAACTGACAGGAAAGTTGCAATAAGTACAAAGGACCTCCACTCCAAACCATTGAGCTGGTGATGTTCCATCACCCTGAATACTTTAGCGTATAATTTCTACAAACAAGGACATTCTTCTACTTCACCACAATAGAACTATCAATTCAGGAAGTTAATATGGATATTACAACCATGTAATCCACAGAGCCCACTCAAGTCTCACCAGCTGTCCCAACAGGGACTTCCACAGGCAAGGGATCACCCTTTGCACATAGCTGTTATGTCTCTTTAGTCTCCCCCAATCTGAAACAGTTCATCTTTCCTTGGCTTTCATTATTTTAACATTTTTGAAGGTTTCAGGTCAGTTATTTTGTAGATTGCTCTTCAATTTGGGTTTGCCTGGTGTTTCCTTATTATTAGATTCAGGCTGTACCTTTCTAGCAAGAATACCACATAAGAGATACTAACTTCTTTCATCTTATCAGGTGTCATACAATTTTGATTTGTGCAGTTACTGATGACCGGATTTTAATCAGTTAATGAAGGTTGTGCCTGCCAAGCTCCTCTACTTTTATAGTTACTCTTTTTTCCCTTTAATTAATAAGTATCTTGTAAGGAGACCATCAAACATTCATCCACTAGTTTTAGCATTTACTGAAGATTTGTCAAAAATTGATCTAATTCCACCATTCCTTTTACATTTGTTGGTTAGCATTCCACTGAAAGGTAGAACTTTCCCTTCTTGTGGATTTGTGGGTTCCTATTTTGATAGGTTATAATTTGTTACTAACAAATGCAAACGCATACACACGTGCGTGCACACACACACACACACAGTTTCTTTACATATATTGAAAATTGGGAGTTGTATACCAGTACTTCCAATTCCAACCTTATTCTAGTTTTCTCCCTTTTTTATTTGTAATACCTTTCTCTGACAAAATCTGGCTTCCATTAGCCTTAATATATTTACTTGTGGATCAGTCCCCCCTCATAAAAACCTTTTGCTGCGTCCTTATTCCAGATCGCTGAGAGTCCCCTCCATACTACTACCCTCAAATGTTCTCCTCAGGCTTCACCCTGTATCCCACACTGGGCCCCACCTTTGCCCCCTGTGGCAGTACCTACCTCAGAATAAGCTCAGAATAAGCGAATGATGTTTGTCCTGAATTATACAGGAAGGGAGAGAGGCAGGAAATAAATCAGGAAGGCAGAAAATGAAAATCTTTTAAAAATGCACTTTAGTACTCTACAAAAATTATAATTTCAAAGGACAGTTACATATTCAGGTATATTCAGCTATAGCCTTCCATAAAAATGCATGTTTCTAAACAACCAAACTACCTTTCCCAAGGAGGATGCTATAAATCACAAAATCTCACCAATATTTTTAAAGTCAAATCACAACAAAATTTTAAGAATTTTAGAGTTTTTCCATTTATTATATTACCACAAAAAAATCACTGTATACAAAGATATTACAAAGGTAATAAAATATTCTGTACAACAAAAAGGATTTTGACACTTTACAAATGATTGCATCCTTTTAACACATTTAACATTAAATAATTTGAGAACTTTAAAACAACTTTTTTCAGTACCTCTAAATTTATTATAGTTACTAAGAAGCATATAAAAATACTTAGCACAGTAAAAGACAGGATAGTGCCATTCTGCAGGGTTCTGAATTCATCAGTTAACAGTATTTTTCAGTACATTCTTTTAAAACAGAAGTCATCTCTGAAGGGTTTGTCGGGTCTGAACCATGACCCCAGTGAAGTCCTGAGAGACTTCTAGACACAGATCCCCAAATCCTCCATCTTACCTATTTCTGACTACATTTTAGGCAAAGCCATACTGTGTTGATTAGATAATAAAGAAGAAAAATAGGTAAGATGTTTACTTTTATCAAAAACTTGTATTTTCTCTGCTGATAGCCCTGAAAACTTGATTTACTGAAGCACCAACATTATCTACTAATTATTGTGTATTACTACTCACACATAGGTGTTTAATGAAAATTTTAAAATTCTTTAAATTTTTGAAAAGTCCAATAGTAAACTGAAGTTTTGGAAACAAGTGATAAGTGACAAATGATAAATTCTACCCTCTTTAAATAGGTCATTACTAGCAGGTGGTATTTTTTCCTAAAGCCATAGACATTTAAAATAGAAAAATATTTAGAAAATCTTTAGAAGAAATAATTGTTTAAACATTTCATCTGTGTTTTGTTTATTAGTCATGGCAGTGGGGACACGATAGGGGCTTTCTGATCTCTACTTTTGTATGCATGAAAAAAGTTATTACTTTTGAGATTCAGTCTTATTCACCGATTTTAAATTTGTGCTTTAAACTCTACTAAGATGTATTAGTTAAACTATTAATTTGACTGAGTCTTAGACAAAGGCATAAAATTGGATATAGACAAACCATACATTTATCTCTGATTAGTTGCCCACTCCTGGGCTTATAATGTTAAATAGCATGATATTTTTTATTCTATGTGATGCCAAAAGCATCCTAATTTTGCCCCTTTCATACTCAACCCCTGAAAACTAAACAGATCAGAAATCCTTCAGTGGCAACTTCATTAGCTATGATGAGGTTCCCTTTTAGGAAGACAGTCATGTAACTCCCAATTCATAATCAACTTTGGCAAAGAAATTAAGGGTCCTAGAATTTCAGAACTGAAGTCATTAAATGACCTTATCTTTGCTATATAATAGAAACCGGTTCTGAAAAGAGTAAGGCCAAAAGAAGGGCCTCCAGATCTGGGCAAAACAAACAGCCACTCTAAAGAGAAACCCATCTCAGGGTTCTTATCTAATCCATAGCGATTTTTCTCACTCTGCCATGTATCAAAAGGAGTTTCTGGGCTTAGAGATTAATCAGGGCCACAGGATTACACACATATTTATTAATATTTGATTAGCACTATACTATTTACAGTTTCTTATGCATCATTTTATTTAATACAACACATCTTGTGAGGTAGGTAAGCAGGGTATTATCTGCATTTTACATCTGAAGAGAGGCCCACAAAAGGCATGGTTTGTTACATATTATATGAGTATGTGGCAGAGCTGAAGATTCAACCCCAATGTCCTGACAAAAAAAAACCCTATTCTTGGGCACCTGAGTGGCTCAGTTGGTTAAGCGTCTGCCTTTGGCTCAGGTCATGATCTCAGGGCTCTGAGATTGAGCCCCGCATCGGGCTCCCTGCTCAGTGGGAAGCCTGCTTCTCCCTCTCCCTGCCTGCCGCTCCCCCAGCTTGTGCTCTCTCTGCCAAATAAATAAATAAAATCTTTTTTAAAAAAATCTCTATTCTTTCCATTTCTCCATGCTATTTAACATCACATGGCAATTTCTTTAATCCCCTAGTATATCAATGTATGAGATAACAAATTATTTGGTGCTACTGGGCAGCCTGGATCACCAATTCCAAGTCTCCCTTAACATGGACAGTCTCATTTTTTTTTTTTTTTTCTGAAACATTAGGTTAAAAAATGACAACCCAGCTGTTAGAGAAACCCAGTTACCAGTTTAAAAGACCATTATAACAGCAGGTTCTGATGACAGAAATCAGAATAGTGGTTTTGAGGAGTAAGCAGATTGGCAAGGGCATAAAGAACAGAGGCAGAGTGGATAACATGGTAAAGGCGTGGAGGCCTGGCAGCCTGAGAGAATTTTCAAGGAATGCCAGCTTATTATAGGGTTTAAGGATAACGTGATATTATTTTTAACCAGAGCATACTGAAGATTCTTGTGGGGGAAAAGGAATGAAGGCCTATACTAAGGAAACACTAGGAATGAAGGAGGGACTAATGCAAGACATTTTTATGAAGCAGAATTTAAAAGACTTGATAACTAAGTAGGACAGTAAAGGAGAAAAGGAATAAAACATGATTCAAAGTTCCAATTAATATCTTGGGTGCCAGGGTAAATGGTAATGCCATTAATGAAAGTAGAGAATGCAAAAGGGGGAGGCAGTTTATAAAGGCATTTGGGTAGCGTGAGAGAAAGCTGAAACTGGGCACTGATGAGGTCACCCAGGGGGAAAAATAGCACCAAATGAGGGCTGGGGTTGAGATTCTGGAAGAAAGTCAACCTCAGAGAGGAATCTTATCTACCACAGAAAGCTTGGAGGAGTATCCAAGAAGGGAGTAGCCAATAGGAAAGAAGGTTATGGATAGGTCAGGCAGAGTAAGGACTGATAAAAAGACATTAGATTTGACAAGGAAAGTGTCTCTGGTCACTTTTCCCAGAATATCATAAGAAAACAGTAAGAGGAGGCACCTGGGTGGCTCAGTCAGTTAAATGTCGGACTATTGATTTCGGCTCAGGTCATGATCTCGGAGTCGTAAGATGAATCCTGGGTCGGGCTCTGCACTGGGCATGCAGCCTGCTTAACATTCTCTCTCTCCCTCTCTCTCTCTGCTCTTCCCCCCACCCTCGAGAGTATACAACGCCTACCTCCCGCCCCTGTGCCTCTCTCTCAAAAAAAAAAAAAAAAAGAAAACAGTAGGAGGTGAAAGACTAATAATCCAAAGAATGACTGGGAACTGAGGAACTCGAAGCTGAAAGCATTTCCTGAGTCCGGATGTGAAGGAAGGAACATGAAGGTAGTAGGAAAGATTGTTGTTTCCTTTTTTTTTAGGGCTAGAGAAGACGTTTATCACAGTTATACAAAGAAAACCACCACTAAATGGTGATGTGAGGATAGAGAAACAAGATGGGAGAGAGAGCAGGGCCCAGGGTGCAAGCAGAGTGTAGAAAGGCAGAGGAGCACTTTGTCCTTGGAAACTAAGTGTGAAAAATAAATATAGTTAGAGATAGATGAGAAATAGGTTGCCAAATTCTTTTTATGTTATAAAATAAATTCTATAATCAGTAAGGAGTACCTGAAAAATGAAAAAATCCATTGGAAACACTCAACACAGATGTAGCAGTACCCTAATTCAGCTTACATGGGGAAGGGCTGGACAAAACAACCCTGCAAGACAAGTCAGTTGCTTATTTAATGAACAAAAATCCAGTTAGATATTCTAACAGTCTGTGTTTAAGCTGGCCAGTGCTAATTAATACAAAATTATAGGATTCTGTATTTTTTTAAAAAAAGCTCACCACCTATCAACTACTATCTGGAGATATCCTGGGTTCATTCATATTTTGAACAGAAAAGAAATGATGCCTTCCAAGTTTTTTATTCTCCCTGGTAAGTTCTTCTAAAGTATGTTATATGTTTATGGTTTTTTTTTTTTTAAAGATTTTATTTATTTAATTGAGAGAGACACAGCGAGAAAGGGAACACAAGCAGGGGGAGTGGGAGAGGGAGAAGCAGGCTTCCCGCTGAGCAGGGAGCCCAATGTGGAGCTCGATCCCAGGACCCTGGAATCATGACCCGAGCCGAAGGCAGACACTTAACGACTGAGCCACCCAGGTGCCCTATGCTTATGGTTTTTAAAATTATATAACAAATGTTTCATTTTTAAATCATAATTTCTGAGAAATATTAATGGTACTTAGGTATCTTTAATCTTTTTCTTCTTCTGCTTCCTAGACTATCCTAACCCCAAGTCTTATCTTGCTCTCCTTCCCATTTCCCAGTATCATTCAACTCAGAATTTTTATTTACATGATATTCATACATTTCCCATTTTGATTGTTCCAGTAAACTTACTGGTTTGGTTGGACACTGTGTAAATGAAATGACACACTGTTTCTAGCTCAGAACATGCTTAACATTTATGGCAGGTTCTATTTGTAAAACAGAGTAAGTCTTCAATAAGTCAGTTACTTAGCATCATGACAATTTCATCACAACTAAGATTACTGCCTAAATTCTACCATCATTTTGCCGCTGGGATTACTTTGCTTTCAGATGGTTTGGATTACATTAATCCTTGACCTGAAGGTGCATGATTCTGACATAAACCCAATGTCACATTATAAAAATCATAAATATCTAATTAAAGCTGTTCTTTCTTTCAAAAAAAACAAACTTCTACTAGTAGTACTTTGAACATTCAATAAATATTTACCGAATGCTTAATATGAGGCAGACCCTGTTCTACAAACTGAGGATTCAACAAACAAAACACAAAAATTTTTACCTTTGTGAAGCTTCTATTCCAGTACAGGGAGAAAAAATAAAAGTAAAAAATAAATGCTTAGTAAAGGTCAGATCCTGGGGTAAGTGCTATGGACCAACAGAAAGGAAAGAGGACATGGAGTGCTGATGTGTATAGATTCGAGGAAGGCCTTGATCAGTAACAGGTGAGTGAATCTGAAGGACGTTAAGAAATGAGCTATGCACGTATCTGAGAGAAAAACAGTCAAGCCAGAGGGGACACCAAGTACAAAGAGTCTGAGGCACGGATATACTTGGTGTTTTTGAAGAGAGACTATGAGGGCAGAGTGCCTGGAGCTGAATGAGAAGAAAACAGTAAGAGATGAGATAGGAGACGAAGTATGAGCCTGCCAATTTTAAGGACTTTGATCTTTACTCTGAGTGGGAATGGGGAGCCACTGGATGGTTTTGAGCAGATGAATGATACAATTTGACTTGTTTTAAAAATAATCGTTCTGGCTAATTTGGAGAGAAGAGACTATAGGGGCACAAGGAGGAAGATCAAGCACTCAGTTTTGGGTATGTTGAGTCTGAGCTGGATTTTTGTTCATTAATTAGGTTTCTAAGTAGAGATGTCAAATAAGTAGTTTTACATACATGCGTAAGCTCCAAGTACGGAGGTCAGAGGACAGGTCTAAGCTAGGGATAAAATTTACGAACAAAGAGCACGAAATTGGATGAGATCACAGTGAGTGAGGAAACACAAGAAAGAAGACAGGCCTAAGGAAACTTCTTCACCTTAAAGACGTGGGTGTAAAGCTAAACTCACAAGCAATTTAAAGGTAGGTATTTAAAATGGTCCAAAATGTAGAGAACTTCCCCTTCCTTGAAAACTCACTTCACTTTCTGTCCAAGTTAGATTTTTTTTTTTTAAGACTTTATTTATTTGAGAGAGAGAGCATGCAGGTGCACACGAGCGGGAGTGGGGAAGGGAGAGGGCGAGGCAGACTCCCTGCTGGGCAGGGAGCCTGATGCAGCCGGATCCCAGGACCCTGGGATCATGACCTGAGCTGAAGGCAGACACTTCACCGGCTGAGCCACCCAGGCACCCCCTGCCAAGTTAGATTCTTAAAGATTTTAAAGATTTTTGATTTACATATAAATCTAAGAAACTCCAAGAAGCCTCAGAAAACCCCTTAGGGGTCACCTTGGCCTATGGGTCTCAAAAATAATAAGGAAATCATTTTTCTAATGACACAGTCATTACAGGTTTTACCTTAAATTTGCTTAAAAGCAAATATCAGTTAATTCATTTAACTAAGAATACATTAATACAATATAAAAGAAGTATAAAAAATTGTATTTTGAAGAACTGGAGCCTTGCTCTCATTTTCTCCTCATTCTGTACTAGGAAAATGGGGTAAAGGACTCTAAAGACAAATTCCACAGCACACAGTTATCGGGTCACATGTTTCAGAAAGAAGAAACAGTTTTTAAGTTTCTATTTCAGAATTTCCCCTATATGATACTTTCCAGCTTTGAATTCAATATACCCAAACAACCAATTAACTTTTACAAGTTACCTTGAAAAAAATCAAATGCAAATGAGTCGCCTAATTGCTCATTCTGCATAGCGCCAATACTAGAATACTGACTATGAACAAAACCATGACTGTTTGGATTAGTACTGTTTGATGGTCCTGCCTCATTTATCATACTGTTATCTGTGCAGTTGAAGTCAGATCTCTCAAATGCCTCTGGCTGTGGAGCAAACGCAGCCGTACTGGAGCCAGCGCCTGCTGGCATACTGGGAGAGGACATCTGATGGAGCTGTCTCAAGTCTCTTGGGTCTAACACCGAATTACATGAGGGGTTTTCAAGATTCATGCTCACAAGTCTCGGATTATCAGTCTCCCTCATGCTGTCATTACTAGGTGTTATCATATTCATAGGGCAATTCGGCAGCATGTTGCCATCAGAAATACCATATAAATCAGCTGGTGACATGGATGGTGCTTCCATTCTGCCTATGTCATTCGAATTGTTATAAATACAAGCATTAGAGGCATTCAAATCACGCTCAAGAGGCATTTCCAGATATGGCGAGATACCTTGTGGATTAGAGGGAAGTGTCCCTGTTGAAAAACCACTCAGTGGATTTGTACTGACTGTGCGCGAGGTGGGGTGGGCCCCTGACGACCAGCTGGAAGAAGGCTGAGACACCATCGAAGGTATGGGTGAAGCATGATGTGACAGTGCATTTGAGATGGACACAGGTGAGGAATAGTAGGAATCTGCTTGACTTGAAACACCTGAAGTCCTGGGCATTTCTGTCAAAACTGCACCATGAGAAAAGTTTCCAGATTCTGTGGAGAGGAGAATGTATTTTTATAAACTGAAATAAAAGTATAAAAAACATTATCTCTAAATTAAACTTGCATAAACACACTAATAAAATTTCCAAGCAAACTAACTGATGGAACATTTTAGAGAAAAATATTAAATAGCACTAAAATTATTATAAGAGTCCAAAAAGCTAAATTCTGTAACACTTACTGTTTTACAAATACCTATAAAATAATTTTGGTAAGTTATTTTGGCATAGATAGCTTCAGTCCAGTTAAATATGAAAATTTAGCTTCTGAGGCTCTATAAAGTGAAAAATAAATCAGAATTTCAGGGATGCCTGGCTGGCTCAGCTGGAAATCCTGATCTCGGGGTCGTGAGTTTGAGCTCCAAGTTGGGTGTAGAGATTACTTACAAAGCATTTTTATAAAAAAACAGAATTTCAGTTAATGGGAATCTAAATAGCCAAAATCATTTCATATTCACTACTTTTAGGAGAAAATAGAGGGATGGAGGAAATGCTCATTAGGGATGATTGAAAAATACACATAACTTGCTAAGATATATTAAGATATAACTCTAGGGGCACCTGGGTGGCTCAGCTGGCTAAGCGTTTAACTCTTAATTTCAGCTCGGGTCCTGATCTTGGGGTTGTGAAATCGAGCCTTGAGTCAGGTTCCCTGCTGGACATGGAGCCTGCTTAAGAGTCTCTCTTTCCCTCTGCCCCTCCCCTCTCTGTCTCTCTCTCCCCATCTCTCTAAAAAAAAAAAAAAAAGATATAATTCTAAGGTACTACAAAATTCCCAGTCAGAAAAAAATTAAGGGTTCTGTATTTATACAGTATATGACTGCTGTACATCCTAAACCAGGAAAAAGCACAGATTTAAGAATGTAAGGGGAAGAAAAGACTTCTGGTTACATAACTCTGGTTCAGCGATTTAAACCAGAGGTTCACAACGTTTTTTTTTTCTGTAAAGGGCCAAATATTTTACGCTCTGTGGGCCATACAGCCTCTGTTGGACCTACACAATTCTGCACTATAGTGCAAAAAAAGCAGCCACAGACAATATCTAATCAAATGAGCATGTTTGTGTTCCAGTTAAGCTTTATTTTTAAAGATAGGCAACTGGCCAGATCCAAACCATTTCTTCCATGATACACTGTAATTAAATAAAATTACCACCATACGAACAAATGTAATTTCTCAAACAATAAATCCCAAAAACATAATCATAGTTTCCAATAGGACCTTAAGAAGCAGAGATCAATTAATTTAATATTCAAAGCATGAAAAAAGTTGTGGGAATGGACAATAGTGAAGAAGCAGTTTTCATTCCTAAGAATGGAATTCTAATATATTGGGCAAAGCATTGGTCTTTTGACCATAAGGAATACTCTATAGGATAAAATACCTTTTTTGATGAATCTTCCTTCTCCAGTTGATACTAGGGTACCAGGTCTAGGTCTTTCAGGAAAATTGACTGCTGTGATAAAGTTTTTCCATTATTAAATGCAATTTAAAAAAGAACATCAGTTAAAATTTAGAAAACTGAATAAAGCAAAAAAACCCAAAATCTATTTAAATACAAATCAATCCAAAATAATCTTACCGCAGTCTTGCCACAGTTTCTGGAAAAGTAGAGTTGTTTTTTGTTTCTTTGCTTTATTACCGTAAGTATCTGGTTAAAAAGAAACCAGGAAATCATCACAGGTTTATGCTGCTTCTCCTTTAACAAATAAATAGGTGTTTTATTCCCATCAGGTGCTTTAAACAAATGTATGTAATATGGATTTAGTAAGTGTTGCAGAATGTGTCCCAAGTCAGTAGGACAGGGTATAATACTCATCTTGTTTTCTTATAACACCTGCAAGTCAACAATGTCAACTAATGCAGTAAAGGCAGATAAGGACCAAACCAAAATGGAGACCACTCTGAGTGGCAAGCTTTCCATCTTAAAAAGGGCACAATAAGTACAAAAACAGAATCTCAAATATACATTTTGATAAACAGTTTGGATACTCTGAAATTATTCTAGATTCCTTTCCAAGGAAAGAGAGGCAAAGAGCAGAAGGATCAATCGATTAAAAAAAAAAAATCAACTGAAAACTTCCAGGAAATAGGGGCGCCTGGGTGGCTCAGTCGTTAAGCGTGTGCCTTCGGCTCAGGTCATGGTCCCAGGGTCCTGGGATCGAGCCCCACATCGGGCTCCCTGCTCAGCGGGAAGCCTGCTTCTCCCACTCCCACTCCCCCTGCTTGTGTTCCCTCTCTCGTTGTGTCTCTCTCTAATAAATAAAAAAAAATCTTAAAAAAAAAACACAAAAACTTCCAGGAAATAAAATGTAAATTATGAATAAACCTGACTGTATCCAAATGTATAAAATGTTATTAGGAGAACTAACTTTAAGAAATACATAAAACATGACCACCAAGAAGTCATACCTTTTTCATCTGGCAGATATCTAAAATCCATAGATTCACTAACTTCCTGGTCAGAAGGTCTCCGCAACTGCATTTTTACTGTCACTGGTTCTGTTATCGCTCTGCAATATGGTGGAGTCTTAAAAACAATGGCTACTTGACGGTGTACATCAGCTTGTGAAAAGATACCTTTTGCTTCCCAATCGTTCAACACAAACCGAACTTCTATGTCATCTAGTGAATACAAAAGCAAAGGAATAGCAATGGAAAACAAAATCCATCTATTAATCTAAAATATAGATGGTCCCCAACTGATGACGGTTCAACTTAACAATTTTTTGACTTGATGATGGTGTGAAAGTGATATGCATTCAGTAGAAAGTGTATTTCAGATTTTGATCTTTTCCCAGGCTAGTGATAGGCAGTACGACACCCTGAAGATGCTGGGCAGTGGCAGCAAGCACGTCGGCGACATGACCAGGAGGGTAAACAACATATATCACAACTGTTCTGATTTTAACTTTCAGTACAGTTTTCAATAAATCACATGAGATATTCAACACTTTATTACAAGTAGGCTTTGTGTTAGGTCATTTTGCCCAACTGCAGGCTAATGTAAGTGTTCGGGCATGTTTAAGGTACACTAAGCTAAACTATGGTGTTTGGTAGGCTAGGTGTATTAACTGCATTTTCAATTTAAGATTATTTTCAATTTACAGTGAATTTATCAGAGTATAACCCGACTGTAAGCCAAGGAAGATCTGTCTAAATTCAATGAAACAAATAAATGAATACCTTTCTGAACTTTATCACATAGTAGAAATATTTCATCACCACCTCTGACACTTCCACAGTTCTTGTTTACACGACAAATCCTTAATTCTGCAGTATTAGGAGCACCTAAATATAAAGGATTGTTTTAATGGGTTTCTGCTTTAGTAATATTTTTTATTCCTTTTTGATGGTGAGAATTCTAGGAAAACAATTTATAGGACAGATAAAAGCTTTAGTGTATACATAAATTAAGGACACTAAGTACACTAATCACCCACAACTGTCCTTCTCCCTTCTAACTGCACTGCCCAACCTGGTTTACAGCCTTGTAACTTCATTTCTCAGCAATAACTGATCCTCTAGTCAAATCTCTCTGTTCCTAAATTCTGATTCTTTCAATCCATCCATACACTGTCACCAGATTAATCTCTTAAATCATAACTATAAGCCTATAGCAATGCAATTTCATGCTTCCTATTAGGAATATAATTTTAGTAACTCTCCCTGGCAATTCAAAATTCTCCATGATGAGGATACTCTGATCCACCTTTATAGGCCTATGTCCCACTATGCTACTATATGTAAAACAGGCAGTAATATACCATGAATGGATGCATATATAAGAGCAAATACACATGGGCATGCAAAAACTTTGAGGGCAATTTCATAATCTTTTAAAACTATAAATACCCATATCCTTTGATCTAGCATTTGCCAACATTTCTACTTCTGTAAAATTATGCTAGAAACACATTTGCACAAAATATGCACATACAGGATATTTTCTGAAGTACAATTTGTTAGAGAAAAAAATCGGGAAGGAAACCAAATGTCTTGTAATAGGGTAATGATTTAATAAAATTGAGATAGAGCCATATAAGGAAATATGCAGCTACTGAAGAGAATAAGGTACCTGAAAGGGAAAAAGGCTCAAGATATATTGCTAAGAAAAAAAAATTTTTTTTAAATGATCTGTGATGTTTTTGTTAAGTTGCCAAAAGTATACTATATGAATGATAGTGATGATGTGTTTTTATATATGAAGAAACTGGTGAAATATGTACCTGGGGATAGTGATTATCTTTGGAGGAGAAGATCAGAGAAGATCTATTCTTCTTGTTATTTCAGTAATGCTTGAATTTTTCTTATAATGAACATATTCTTTCTCTAACTGTCAAAATACCTTAAAAAATTAAACTAAAAAAACATAAGCTAATGCTACAAATATAAGAAAATAAAGTACTTACGGTTGTCATAAATTGGGTTAGAGACAACAGGAGGTAGAGCCGTTGTCAAATTACCATGTTCATCAGGGAGGAAAACTTGAAAACATAATCTCACCACATTGAGGTCGCAATCTTCAATATCAAGCAGCTGCTGTTCAGGGACTAAATAGTACATTTTTTTTAAGAATGTATAATAGTCACATGGAACTAAAATCCTGCTAGGTCCTCCTCCCTGCCCAACATATCCAATAACCCTAGGTAGCATCCAGTCTATGCTAACAAAATAGAATAGTATACAATCTCAAAAATGCCTTTTATCATTATCATATGTAGTCACTAACAGTATTCATTAGGTTACACGCATGGTTGGGAAGTAACTACCCTAAATCATCTGAAATTTAGAGCAGAACTCCAAATTGATATTACTAACCAACTAAATTTTTACTAAAATGGTTGCAGGTTATACAAAACAGAGAAGAGGGAGAATATAAATCTGTGTAAGAATTACTATCATCCCTATTTTATAGATGAGGAACGAATTTTAAAGAGATGAAATTACTGCTCCAAAGTTCCAGATAGGAAGTGGTAGAGAAGGAATTCATACTAAGAAGTCATTGAATCCTGAACCTATGCTCTTGAAAACTGAACTCTATTAGAAAATTTTACATATGTTTTGCATAAAGGTGACATACATAGAAATATTTACCAAAATTCAGAACAATACCTTAGGGATTAAATACCAAAAAGATAATAGATGATATAAGGTAGCCAGCTAGTTTCCATAAAAAGTTTTTTTTTTTAAAGATTTTATTTATCTATTTGACAGAGAGTTCACAAGTAGGCAGAGTGGCAGGCAGAGGGAGAGGGAGAAGCAGGCTCCCCGCTGAGCAGGGAGCCCAATGCGGGACCCGATCCCAGCACCTTGGGACCTGAGCTGAAGGCAGACGCCCAACCAACTGAGCCACCCAGGTGTCCCTCCATAAAAAGTTTTATGTGCAAATTAAGTTTGCTTTAAAAGACAAAAAAATGCTGTAGCAGGAAAAATTTGCAGTTCTGAAAAAATATAAAAACCTTTATGACAGAATATAATGTAATGACAGTTTGTTAAATTGATATCTGAAAAGAAATCCAGGTTTAGTTTTGGAATTAAAAGAAAATATTAACTGCATTTTTCAAATAATATAAGCTGTAGGAGTAAATCGTAAGTCTTTTTTTTAAAAGCACAAAATACACAATTATGTGAAAATTTGTGAAATTTTCAGAAAGTTAAAATTTGAAATACTAAATTGGAAACACAGTTAAAACCCAAATTCTTTAGTCTTACAGGCAATAATAAAATGACAATACAATTTTGATTCTGACTTTTTATTTAAACTATGCTCACAGTCTCAGTAGCTATCACAACATTTAAAATATCCCCATTAGTATTCTTAAGCAAAGCATTTGAAGGCGTCTACAAGAACTTATTTGTACAACTCTTAGGTCAAAATATACACCTGTGATGCAGGTGTTCGTATCATAACATAATATGACATAATAGGTGTGGTTGAAAGGAACTTATTACAAATAACAAAAGATACTCCTTTCAATTTTTTTGCTGTTATCACTTAGCCAGGGTTTTAGGAGCTCTTTGCCAGGAATGGGGGTGAAGAGCAAATATATATTTATTATAAATCACAGTATCACAAAAACCCAGAGTTAAGTTCAGCATAAGAGACCTCTTTTTTTCCAGATAGAGCCTGCCAATTTTGTAAGAGGTGGCTAAGAAAATGAGAAGTTGAGATCAACTCTCAATAGCCTATAGAGGAAAAATAAAGGAGTTCAGGTTCTACTGCGGATGGAAGATCTGATAAATGCCCTATACTCTGGTTGGGGCCCTGAAGGAGCTATACCTTAGGAGTTAAGAATGAACTGGAAAGATACCAGATCTCACAGAGATGAAGTCCGGCTTCAAATAATCTAACTCATTCACTGATCTGAGGCGATCTGAGATTGCTACCAACTAGCTGCCTACCACAAGAAAATCTTCTGGGGGAAAAAAAAAAAGAAAATCTTCTGAAGATAGATAACAATATCCTAGGCCTAAAATCTTTATAATTTTTCATATACAATGACTGGTATTCTATTTTAAATAACAGGCAAATGAAGAGACAAAATAGAGGGTTTTTTTGTTTTTTTTTAAAGAAAAGAAAAACAATAGTCTATAGAAATAGACCAGGGGCGCCTGGGTGGCTCAGTTGTTAAGTGACTGACTGACTCTTGATTTCAGCTCAGGTCATGATCTCAGGGTTGTGAGATCGAGCCCCACGTCATGCTCTGGCACTGGGTTTGAAGCCTGCTTAAGATTCTCTCTCTTCCTCTCCTTTTGCCATCCTCCCCAAAAAAGAGAGACCACAAAGGATTCAAATAATGAAGTCTTCAGACAGGTTATTTAAAATATATATTCAAGGAGTTAAAAGACAAGATGGAGTTTAGTAGAGAACTTGAAACTATTAGGAAAGGAACCAAACAAATTCTACAACTGAAAAATACAATAAACTGAAATTAAGAATATCATCAAATTTATCAACTGTTTTTATAAAACTTTATTTTGTATCTTGCCTTTCTATATGCCAAGGACTAAAATTTGTTTACCAATATTTTTTACCAAGAGTCTTTAAAAATGTTGATTTACACTTAAATCTTCAATTCACTTTCAGCTGATTTCTGTATATAACAAGAGGTAGAAAAATCCAGCTTAAAGTCTTGTATTTTCTTAAGTGTCTTTCTGGGCTCACAATTCTACTCCACTGGCCAATCTGTCTATTGTTACCCCAATACTACACTGCCTTAATTAATACATCTTCATAATAAACCCTATTATCTGATAAAGTCAGTTTCTCGTTGCTGTTTCTCTTCTATAAAGTATCCTTCTCCTGTTCAGAATAATTTCATCATATTTAATGAACAATCTCAAGAGTTTGGACTTGCATTGAGTCTGTATATCAATTTGGGGAAAAATGCCATCTTTATAATATTGATATTAGTGAACATGACATATATCTCCTTCAGTTTAGGTGTTCTCTATCATCTCATAATGAAATTTTATAATTTTCCCTAAAGAAATCTTGATCATTTCTTAGATTTGCTGACATGTACTTTACTTTTTCTGACAATATTCTCTTCAAATTATTTGCTGCTGATATATAGAAATGCAACTGACGTTTACATATTAATTTTACATCCACTCACCCTTTTAAAGTTATTATTTTAATAATCTATTTGTATGTCCTTTTGAGTTTTCACCATAAATAATAGCTTCCAATAATTACAGTTTTATTTCTGCATTTTTAATCAGGTCTCACGGCACTGGCTACAGTCTCCACTACAACGCTGAACAGAAATAGAAAGAGTACACATCCTTTCCTCATTCCTAATTTCAAAGTGAATGCTTCTGATGTTTCCTTCATTTAGGATAATGCTTGCTGTAGGCTTTTTAATACATACATATTCTATAACACAAAATGCAGTATTTTATTCTGCAATGTGACAAATGCTACTCAGCTTTTAAAAATACGCAAAATCTGAAGTATGAGAATAATCAAATTCTCTTAAATTCCTCTAAAACTAGTTTAAAATTTCCCTTTATATTTGATCAAAAGAAAACAAGGTAACAATCATTCTTAATCTATCTTTACAGATAAATATTACACCTTAGTCCTAAGAGCAGGATGTACAAGAATTTCATTTTTATCAAAAATATATTACCATGATGTATTTCTCTTGGAAGTAGATTCAAATTTTTTAAAGTCAATTATAACATCTATTAGGTCTAGAGATGTGACATTTCCAAAATTCTAATACAGTTAAATACTACTGAAACACAAGTAAACAACAGGATAAAAATACACAGTATATAGACTAATGATTTTATTTATCTTTTTAAAGATTTTATTTATTTGACAGAGCAAGAGAGAGAGAGGGAGAGCACAAGGAGGGGGGGCAGAGGGGCAGAGGAAGAGGGAAAAGCAGGCTCCCCGCTGAGCAGGGAGACCAATGCAGGGCTGGATCCCAGGACCCTAGGATCATGACCTGAGCCGAGGGCAAACTGTGTTCTTAGAAAACTTAAGAAAAAAATTAATAAACTGAGTTCTTTTTTAGACTACCAATATAAAATAATTCCCCCAACTCAACTGTAAAACAGTTTTTGTAACAATTCAATGTCCTCTGTATATGGAAAAATAGTAAAATACTGAATAAAACTGAATTGCAAATTCTTTATTGTCAAAATGCTAGATTTTAATTACTGAATATTAGAATTCCTTTTATGTCCTTAAGTACATAGAAAATGATAAATAAATGAAATTTTTTTCAGCTTTTGTAGTAAGAGTCCTCTACGAAGTCTAACTGCTATTCTTTTATTCCAGCTAAGTGGACACTATTAAAACTTGATATTGAAGCCCTTCATTAAATTCCTCACCCAATTTAGATTTTAGCACATCTTCGACAATTTGAACAATATTTTTACATGAAGCCTCAAGTTTAATACTACTTGATTGCTATATATCCCTATTTGCAAGAGATAGTTCCTGTTTTAAAGAACTAATAGCAAGAAAGATAAGGAATGGCCTTACAACATACTAGCTGATGTAGTACACAAACTAATTCTACGCAAAGAATCGTTTTTAATAGTCTTTGTATTTTCATATGATACTTGATCTCTAGAAAACAGACTGTCACAATGAGATAGCATCAGTCTATGGATCAGAATTTGCAGATCCTACTCTGCTAAACATTTCCAATTCCATTGTTTTGTTTTGTTTTTTTAAAACCCAGGAGAATTGAGAAACTCCTTTGTTTCTATATATCATAAATATATATCACAAAAACAAAGTCAGCTGGTCTCTTCAGTACAGCAGAATTCTATGTGAAGTGATGCAGCTATGAAAAAGAATCAATTCAGCTCTGACAAATTTCTATGTAAGTGGTAGAATTTGAACTTGCAGATCCCAAAAATAAAATAAACAACCAAAGAAAGGATAATTCTACCTCTGAGTTCAGGTTACTTAAATTAGTTTTTAGTGTTTTGAGTTTTTTTAGAGGGATTAGATTTTGTTTTGCTTAGTATTAGAAATGTACATTTTAGGTTTTATTTCAATACTCTAGGAAAAAAACATATAATA